CGAAAGAACGGACCGCCCACCAGCTTCGATGCAACGTGAACTATTGCAAAATATGTTGAGGGACACAGAGCGGAACACGTCATCCTTAATATCATCTTCGTGACGCAGATCGTCTTTCCGATTCGATTCGAAGATTCGCCATTCCTTCGGATCGAATTAACAACGATGCGTGTTACCAAGGAAGGAACTTGACTATAAGTGGTTACCCCCCAAATGGACCTAATCTAACCAGTTGTATCGCTGTATTCGGCTCTCCTTCGTCGTTTCATTTTGCGATATTATCGCGATATTATTGCACGAAACGGGACGTTGGTACGAGATAGTTGGAGCAAGTAATTAATTAAACGATGACGGTTACTTTAACTTGGCTTATCTTCTGTTCCCTTTACCGGTAACGGTCCTGAAGTCCCTCGTTTCAGAAGATTCTTATTTTCCCTAAGTGTGATATAAAGAATTTGTAAACTTGTGTTGTGAACTTTTTCACGCATTTCTACGAAATTTTCAAGCGCGAAATTGCACGTTGCATAATATCAAAAGATATAATATCAATAATATATTATATATGTGTGTGTGTGTGTGTGTGTGTAATATTTATTATATAATATTAATATATATATATATATTAATATTATATAATAAATATTACACACATATATATATGTAATATTAATATATATATATATATATATATATATATATATATATATATATTATATAATAAATATTACACACACACACACACATATGTGTAATATTTATTATATATATATATTAATATTATATAATAAATACTACACATATGTGTGTGCGTGTGTAATATTTATTATATATATATTACGTGTAAATATTCGCGGTGTAGTGTTCGTCTTTCACTGTATTCTCAAAATTATGAATCGATGCACGAAAATCGATGCAGCCTATTTATAATTACACTTTGCATATAGTTCAATATTTGAATCAAGAAGATATTGTCGTACAATATTTAAATCGAGAAGTAAATAACTTGGCACCGCGAGAGAAGTTGAGAAACGTTCACCGGGGAAAAAAATTGATCGAAGGGGGATCAAAGTTTTGAAACTTATTCAATCAGACACATTCTCAATCGAAGAAAGTTCCTTGCTCGCCTTGTCTTTCAGCAGTTCATAAATTTACAATAGACATTTTTTTTTTCTCTCTCTTTCCCGTCTAAAACACACCTCATCCTGATCACCATCTTCAGAGAACTTTGCCCATCAAACTGGCTTCCTTTAAAGACACAAAACTGATCGATTTATCGCGCGAGTGTTAGACACGGGTGTTGAGAAGTTTCGCAAGGAAATGGAGCAAGACCTCTTGTCACATCGCCGAAAATTTATCCGGTGACAGAGGTGTTTGATGACGTGAGTTTAACGTAACTCGTATAGCCCGTGAATTAGACTTCTCTGGTTGGTACATACGTAGATAAAGATAAAGATCGGGCGACCATTGAAATCGTGGCGGAATAAACGAGCTCATTTGCAGAAACTCGAGGCACGACCATTTTGTGATCCATCCGTCATGAGACAAGAGAATGGCAAGGTACGATTATCCATAAGAGTGCGTTCTACTAACTTCTGCGATCACCTTGACACGGTTGTTCACATTTCAACCGAATGCTTGCATTTAATGTTCGGTGTCGTTCGAAATAATCGAGAGACAATATTATTCTCGTCTTTGCCTCCGCGTACTACGTTTAAATATATTCGGATTCAACGTCGCGAAAGAGAAACAGGAATTGTATTTGTGCGTTTGAACAAGCGCACGATCGAATCTATGGCGTATCTGGCAGCGAGGTAAATCTCCAGGAAATTATCTATCCTCCTTTTACGAATCGTTTCCGTTGGATCCATGAAATTGTGAACTTGGAAAGCTAAATCTCTTCTCGGAGAGTCGTCCGAGGCGGAAATAGGAATATTGTCAAAGAAACATAGGAAACGTGATCTCGGCTTGAAATTTGTGTACACGTCTATTCCGATGAAACTACACTTCGCGATGATGAAAGATTCCTTTTTTTTTTTTTTTTGAGAATCGTCCTCTTTTTTAACTCATTGTCTCATTCACTCGTATCCTGAACGAAAAGGTGATTCACTGAATCTGCAAATCGACTTTCTGTTTAGAAGAAATGAAAAACGTTAACACTAGAACTACCAAGGACTAAAGCATCAGAGACATTAAAAAATAGAAAAATTGTAAAATAGAATACACGAGCTTTTATTTACGTATTTCCCGAAAGATCATTTAAATCTTTAAAAATGTTTATAATGTGTCTATTGTAACAAAGATTATTAGTTAGTCAATTCGACTAAACGATACTGCGCATTTGAGCGATCGTTGATAGCCGATCGAATTGTAATTTTCGCAACAAGAATTTTCCAAGTTTTATTGTTTCGAAATTTCTCTCTTGGAAAGTCGACGCGTTCTTCGCCAGAATCTTCGTCAGAAATTTCACGGGAAAGCACTCCCGTGCAGGGCTTGAATTTAACTGCAAACTTCTAAAAATATAAGTTGTAACTTCTAAATTATTTCTTTCTCTGTTATAAATTAACTTTCACATTAAAATTGAAATGCCAATAATTTTAAAAAAGATCTGGGTACTTCGGAAGAAGGAAGATTATTTATATAGGAAGATCTATGATAAAAATATTATTATCAGTATTACTCGTCATCGTGAATTAAAAAAGAAGTCAAGTATAGTTGAGTTAACTTTCAATATTTTTATTAACTTTATCGAACATTGAACAGAGTTAGAGTTCGACAACCGAATTTTTGTCGTTTAACCTTTAAAAAAAAAAAAAAAAAAGAGACCTCGATCTTCAAGATCATGCTCTACAATTGTGAAAAAAAAAATGTTCCAGACTGATTGTTTGGATTTTTACAATTAACTTTGATAATTAGAATAAGAGTGAAACTACGTAAATTTGAATAATCAGAATAAAAGTAAAACTACGTAGCCTGTTTTCGTAGCGAGTGAAAATTGATTTTATCACGGTGGACAGTCGGTGATTAATCGGCGTTAAAAAAAAAGCGAGCTGTGGCTTTCTCGATTCTTCGTTCACCCCCTTTCTCTTCGTCTCTTCTTTTTCATCGCGCTTCGTCGGAGGGAGAGAAATTTTCGTCAGATCGAAAGTGGTTCCGGCTCCGCGATAAAACGCGATTTTCATTCAATCTGCGGGACACTAGCGCGCGGCTTTGCAATTCGAATTAGACCTTAAGCGAGTTAACTACGTCTAGCAGGAGAGAAGGATAGATAGAAAATTCGCAGTTGCCCGATGCACTTTTGAATAAGTTACCGCTGCCTCGTGTTAACGTGATTTTCCACGAAAGAGAACGAAAGATTTAACTGTCGAAAGTTCTCGCGAACTTAGAAAATCATGATACTTCTGGTTTTTTTTTTCCCTTCGCGTTGATCGTCACGGTTTCGAAGATACTCGAAGAAAGAAGTTTATTTCTGAAAGTGCGAATCCTGAAAACCCTTCTGCTAAACCATGGTTTTCACGTAGAAAACTGCCTAGAGAGAGACTTTATTTGCGGATCACATGCAATTGGCTGCTTCCCTCTTTAAAATTAACTTAGCTCTTGATACAAAATGTCAGTGTGGCACAGTTTAGTTCAAGATCTCGACCATATAATTTGGCAGTGCCGACAATAGGAATGTCTTAATTAATAAACTATGGTGGTATGAGTTATTTCCCTCCCCACATAATGTATTTCTTTTTAAGCAAACCATATATTACTCCTCTGTTGATTGTTCACAATTTTCTCAAAAGGTTTGCATCTGTAAATCTCGGATTTGTGCCGAGTGCTTAGCTGTGCTTTCTCAGCGACTTAACAGTTCTCTTAGTTTTAGTTGTAAGCTCCAGTTATAAGTATGTAAATAGCATACATGCATCTTAGTTGTATATCAGTGTAATCCTTGTACAAAAGTTTGCGAAATTGTTTCTGTACTGTTAGTATGCACAGCAATAACCCTGTAGAGGGTTCTATGGCGTAAATAAAAAAAAGAAAAAAAAGTCCTGGAGAAACGTCGATGATGATAACGACGGGGGAGAAAAAAGGACCGATTCGCAGTGTCTGCTAAATGCCATCCTTGACATCTTTGGACAAAATAGATATGTTCGAATGGGCTGCACATTCCCCGGTCGGGAACCGGTCGCAGACTCTTCTTCTCCGCCGATTTCGCAACTTCAAGGCGCGCTTGGCTTTATCTGGATCTTTATCTCGATACGGAATATTTATAAGATCGAACGACAAATTGCAGGCTAAGTAGTCACCGGCGGCTTCTTTGTCCATTTTGTTTCATTTGGAAATTGCTAATTAAAAAGATTAACACACATTAACACATTATATAGTGTATATAATTATATATATTTATATATATATATATTTATTTATATAATATATATATAATTATATATATATATATAGATACATGTATGTTCTTTTTAATGCTTTTATTGATTTGTTCAAATATAGATAACAAATGTACAAAGAAAGTAGAATAACAGTTGACAATTCAGTGAAAGTAATCGCCAAGTGGAAATGAAACAAAGCCTGTGGTAACGTAAATGCTGCGGGAGGAGATGTTAAACGTGTCGCGTGTATCAGGCACATCATAGTACGTATATTTCTTCTATAATTTGGACAAGTACCATCTCACATCTATAGATACATCATTCTACGTGCTGACAGATTTGGCTAATTGAACAAAAACGTTTCGTGTCCACTGAAAGATTAACTGTTGATTCAGTTGCTTTGTAACTTTCGATATATCGGTCATCGGCCGATTCTTTTACTCGATGCGGATTTTCATCATTTTCGATTATGGAAATAAATAAAAAATATTTATACAAATACACCGTCTGTTTTTTTCTTTTTTTTTCGTAAATAATACTAGTTACAATGTAAAATTCGCTATTCTTGTACTGGCTGGATCTATGAAGTCTTTACATATATATATGTATATATGTTCTTCTTTTTTTTCCTTCTTTAAATAGAGAATGTCACGCGCGAAGAAGTCGTAACTGTGAGCAAATATACATGCACGCGATACAAGTTCCGGTGAAAAATTTGTATAAATTTGTGAATAAATTAAACGGGCAACGTTCGACAACGTTGGATCAACTAAGAATAATATTACATTCGCTAACATTTCTGTCTATACGTTATACACTTAAAGGAACATATTTCCCGTTGTTTTGTTCGTTTAAATTGAAATTCAAGTATGGAACATCTCAGGAATAAATACATGTACGACAATTTTACTTAAGTCTATTTTAACTATCTTGTCTATCAATGTTGGAATATTTTTTACAACGCGCGTCTTGCAACATCAGTGCACAATACTTTCAATCAAAATTTACGCGGATTGCCGGAACTTGTATGGAAAAGTATATACGTATATTACGATACGAACTCGGCACGCATGTAACACACGTATATATACATATACGTTTGTCGTCAAAAAATTCGAAATTCATAATCGATCAACTTTCTATCTTCTAGATAGATATTATTGCGTTATCAGCGGTCGTTAACAATAAAAAGCTCAGAATCACTATATGCAATCTAGAAGAAACATTTCGGTTTCTTTTATATATTATATAGAAACATACCGATATATACCGCTACCATCGTTTGTTTTTTGTTTTTTTTCTTTCTTTCTTTCTTTTTACATATAGAAAAAATTCGACTAAACAGCTTAGAGTTGTTCTAAAACAATTAAATTGCAATTAAATTCGCACTTAAAATTACGCAGTGCTGTAGGAAGACTGAACCGAATGAAACTAATCTTTGCAACTATTATCGGTGGGCCTATAGCGCTCCCTCGAATGAAAAAAGACGCTTGAACAACGATACACACCGATTGTTTGCCTCTTTTACGTATCATCTAACGTTCACGTTTACAAACGATTTTTACATTTCATTTAAAATACAGCGTATGTATACATTGAAATCCAGTGTCCTATAATTAACAACTTAAGTCTAATATGTACCAGCTTTGTTATTTCATCGTTTTGAAAGTGCAACTTGGCATCAGTGTGTGTATGTGTATGTATGTGTGTGTGTGTGTGTATAAATACTTATGCGAAAACAATCGCGCGATGTATGCACAAAAATATATTACATTACATTACACAGTAATAATTCAATATGCACAAATGAGATACGTACATCACGTAGAATTAAACGAAGACCTTTAGTTCGTCGTACTAAAAAATAAATTATCGTTACGTTATAGGATTCACGCAAATTATCCTTAAAAAAAAAAAAAAATGAGCAAAAATGCCGTGGCTGGTATCGATTAACATTATTAACATTATATTGTAAGCTTTAAACCCATCTGCCGAGAACTATGTACTTAAACTAAGAAAGGGAAAACGATGATTACAAAAAAAAAAAAAAAAAGATAATCTTAAGAATGTAAGCGTAATCGCGTGAGCAATTTATAGAAAGACAAATCTTTCGAAATCAGTACGTGCTAAGAAAGCTGCAAAGTTTCAAGCTAGGAAAGCATTCTGCCTCGTGTTCTCGATTTTTCTAACACGTACAATCGTTTCAGTATTTACCTAGGTTTAAGTCTTTTTTTTTTTTTAAACGCTAATATCTACACATAATACATAATTTATAAAATTCTAAAGCTGAAAACTCGTTAAATGTTTTCGATAGACTAAACGTCCTATTCGAAACGCGTATCAATACAATGCTATATAGATTACGGTCGTGAACGGCTTTTGAGACGAATTTCTGTTTTCTCGAACAAAAATTCTTTCGTATTACTTTATGAAAATATAACGAAGCGTTGTTAAAAACGCATTGTCAATACACATATGTCGTCTAGCGCTCGTTGATGTGCTCTTGGCGTTCTGTGCAATATGTAACACATTCGAACGAAATCATCGATGACGATAAAACCTGTATCTATATAATATAATTAATATACATTTGCTTGATTACATTTGCACCCTATTAACACGCTTCTTACAAATGTTCCTTTCAAACATACACTCTCAAAATATCAATTTCGCGTGTAAGAGTTTATCGATTCCTACATTGAACTGATCTCTAATCACTTTTATTATTAGTAAATTCATATTATTCAACGTCCGGTTTATATAATGTAAAGAAACAATGATTTTATCGGTATCTATCTCACTTACCAGTTTGCACAAAAAATTTGCGGACATTATTATCTTGGACGATTATTGTACGGTTCCACCTTTCATTCTTTTCTTCTTCCCTCCATCTGAACGTCTACTTTCATGATCCCGACTCACTGTTTCTCTCGTTTATGCTCCTTTTCTTCTGACGATTCTTCCCGAACGGCTGAAACCATTCTTAACATTAGAATGGCCAATAATTTGTCTAGTGGATCCATAAAACCTCGTTGAATCCATTTCGGTATCGTTGTACGGGCATGAGAAAATCCTAATTTTTGCAAGATGTAATCTATTCCATAAGGCTCGATGCTTTTACCAGCCCACGAAAGCAATCTTTGGCGTAAAGGATAAAAGTTACATAACTTAATAGCAGCAACAATAATGACAAATTTCATCATTACCTTACGGTCGGTTCAACGTGCCATGTTTTACACCTGTACGATCGCCAATCTTTTATAAACATCTCTGCTGGATCGAACTGTTTACGTTTCTTTTCATCTTCGGAAGTGATCGTCGTTGTAGCGGAAGTACTGGCAGTGTTCGTAGTTCCGCCTTTCTTTTCTTGAGGATCTGGACTATGCGCTCGTGCACCCATGTTCTATAAATAATTACGTGACAAAAAATTTCTTCCCATAATGCGTAATTGCTTTGAAAACACACAAAATATAGTTTACCACTTTCTCTTTCTCCTTAACGTATGAAGTAATTAAATCATGAAGGAAGAAAAAGGCCTCTGCGTCTACCGTAACGAAAATGTGGTCCTCGAATTCGGTAATGAAACTACATTCGACTAGTGGTTTTTCACCTGTTAAAAAAGAAAAAAAAGAAGAACGTGGTTTTTACACAATAAATCTTATACACTGTTCATCTAGTACTAATTTCAGCATTGCATTTCAATATATAAATTAATATGTTCAATGGTACATAAATATCGTTCTTGAGTAGTTCAAGAACTATATCTATGCGTCAATATATACTAATTTATGTAATGAATTCTATATTATATATTGCGTGATTGTAACTCTAACTGAATACTAAAATACTATATATTATTTCTCAATGAAAATATTGATAAAATTGCAATTACTTTGCAATTGTATTACTTGTCTTACACTTGTACTGACTGGTATATAAAAAGCAATTATTATTTATATAAATATAAACTATATTGTTTCATTATTGTAAAAAATGTATGCTTTAAACGTCAATACTGCATTACTTTATTTTGTATAGACCATGCATACTAAATATGAATTTGATCATACAGATTTAGCAATTATAAAAACTGAAGTCTGATCTTTAGCATTTATTAAACATTTCATGCAAAATTGTTTATGTAATTTCATATGTCATAAAACATTCAATAATCTGGCCTACGAGTCAATCAATCTTATTAATTTCAAATTGACAATGCTTCTTACCAAATTTTAAATAAATCAATTTTCTTATTGTACTTACTATATAATATATGTTTAGGAGCTCCTAAAAATACACAAAGAAAATAGTTGCAACACATAATTCAAAGAAAAATGGTTTCTACTACAGCTTTCATTTTTATAAATACAACTAAATATTGTGTAAATTAAACATTTTGTTACGAGGATTCTTAAATATTTTGACTTGAATTAAATAAAGAATAAGTAGAAACATTACGTACCGATAACAACTGGAGTTTTTGCAGTTTGAAGATGTTCAGTTTTTAGATGTAATTGCAATGATGGTAGAGCAAATATAACTTCCCTTCCGTGAGAATGTTCTTGTAATTTTCCAGAAGATGCTGCTGTACTTCTTCCACGAGTTATATTACCGCTATCAGATGTGCTATCTGTTCGTTCTCTTTCAACACATGGAAATCGATCTACAGCTGTTAAAGTAACATATCTTGAAATACTTTGTATTTAGATTATTAATTTTCAATACGTTTATAACGTACCGTCAATTTCACTACTAGCAAATGCATAATGAAACCATTCTTGTAATGATTTAAATTGTGGTGGGAACAATACGCTACGACTTAATTTGCAAACAGTAGCCATAGAGTGATGTCTTGCATGTTGCTCTTGTTGTTGGCCTAAACTGATGGTTAATGTTTGCACAACATGAACATCGCGCGTATTTGGGGCTGTCAAGAATAACAATTATTAAATCACTTTAAACAAAACACAGGTTTTAAGTTATACTCAATATGATATTCCTTACATTCCACGCTTGGAATTTCTTGAGCTTCAGTAGTGAAACTGATACACGGTTCTTTTAGCGAAAATATTGCCCAACTTTTACTTTTGAAATTAATTCCATGGAAACACGCTAAACTAATGTTACATCCGTGAAGTTCCATTGTTCCTCCAAGTACAGTTCCTGTTGATGGTAAAGAAAAGCTTAAACTACCTAATTGGAGGCCAGCAACTTGGGCTAATACACCTTGCCAATGTCTGTGATGACGAGCATCTGACATTGTAACTGCTTGATTCGTGTTCCATGGACCTATAGTATATGATTTTAAAAATATATATTTTATGACATATTTACAATATACTTGCAATATTTATATAATGCATGTAGCTCAATTATATTAAATAAATGGTTTACCTTCATTAGTAGTTTTCTTTTTCTGTGTTCTTTTTCTAAAGCTAGTGTTATTTACTCTTTGATGCTTTGGTTGTAAGGAACTAAATACTCGTTTGCTACTTTTAAATTGTTGACTGAAAAATTCATCTAATTTATAGTACATTTTTAATAAATCCGCTGTTGTCGATTTACTAATCATAATTTGCAATTGATCCCATCCCAAGTCTCCATGCATAAAAATTACCGCAGGCCTAGATTAACATTTCAATGAACGATTAAAAATTTGTTTAATTATAATCTATAAAGATTATAAAATGGATGTAAAATAACCTTCTCGTTGGCATAAAGGCATCCCCACTATTATTACGATTAATTTTCCATTCATCTCTCAATGTAACATCCAATGATGATACTCTAGACATCAATACACTGGTTCCCATATAATCCAATCGCAACTCCAATGCAAACAGTTTTAAGCCTACAGTATGATCAGGTTCTATACCAGGTTCTTCTCGAATGTGTACTATAAATATACACACACGTAAATTATATAATTAATTTAGCAAAACTAATATATATTTTAAAATAAATTTTAATATCAACAACTTACTATATGTATCAATTTCACTCAATTCAATGATACCGCCAACAATACCACCCTTTGCATCCAAACTAGAACCTCCCAATCCAACGCCTATATATAAATTCTTATGTCCAGTACTACCTATAGACAATCTTCCATCGGATCTAAAATCTTTTGTCATCCATGTAACATTGCCCATGACATTACCCATGTTCATGTGAACATTCAAACGTGTAAAATTTATGGCAAACAGTACTAATGTTTCCCATGCAGATTCTCTTAATTTAAGTTCTGATGTTTGTTTATCAGATGTGAAACTCCATCCTCTACCAATATCTAGTGTCAACATATGTATAGCAGTAATAAAAATTACTTGAGATTATTGCCAAAGATTTCGTATATATAAAAATACCTTTTAATCGTGCATGTTTCGGTATATCACTTTCTAAACTCAATCTTAATTTGTCCCTATTCAAAGTTGGACTTCGTTCTGGAGCACTTTTCGATAATCCATCAACACCGTGTCGATCGTAATGTTTTAATAGAGAGCTACCCATAACTGCTTCTTCTTGATTTAGAGAAGGACTACCATCACCTTCAGAATATGCGGTACCTGAACTTAAGTCTCCCAGAAACAATCGACGTACTATACTACGTCTATACCATGCTTTCGGAAAAGCCAAAATTTCACTTAATCGTCGCATATCATATTTAAACGAGGCGGATCCGATGTCAACAATTGCTAAAAGTTGCGAATTAATTTCATTAATTTCCTCAATATGTGTTAACTGTTATTTAAATATGAGAAAAATGATATATACTGGAAAATCGAATAACTGCACGGCTGGTATCTGACATCTTCTTTGATTGTTCACTTTGGAAATTTAATTTGCGACTTCTCGACATATGAAATTTTACAAATGCGACGTTGATACTTAAAGAATCTTTTCTTTCACTATCAGATAAAGGTGACCATTGTGCTTCTTTCAAACCAGTTTTCTTTCCGCCACCATACGGATGAAAAATATAAACAGAAAAATCAGCAAGACATCCGGTGACTGACAGTCCACCAATCGCTGATCCAGTAGGTTGTGTACCTGGAGATTTGTACTCTCGAAACTCTGTAAGTTCTTCTTCTGCTCGCTTGGACGAAAACACTATATCAAGGGACGGCAATTGCAAGATACATTCAACCCGAGAGACCGGTAAACAAGAAAATCTGAAATGAGAAAGAATTACAGTAACTAATAATATTTATAAATAAACCAATAAAATTATTTGAAAATTACCTAAAAGTAGAAGGTTGCATATGAAAATATACTATCACATCAACAGGAAAACTCGCGTAAACATAATTGCTACTTGCTGCTGTAGCAGCCCAGGATGTACTTTCCACATTTTCCACTGGAAATACTGCGTTCGTTTGTGCATTATTATGAAAATGAGTTTTGCTTGGTATTGGTTCTAACGTTTGTTCCAAAAATTCGAGGATATGTGGACTTATTATAGTTTCTTCTGGTATACTTTGAAGAGTCATCCAAGCAAATAAACTAGCCTTCTTAGTACTAGACTTTTTGAACGCGGTTACTGATGAAGGATTAAGCAAGCTATTGTCTGATGATACACGAGGAGATACAGATTCCTCTGGAAGTGTTCTAGATTCATAATGTACCTGTAATAAAATATTAGAAACATATATACAGGCATATATATGTGTGTACGCATAATATTTATATATATAACAAAATAGTTTTACCTTTACATCTAAGCCAGGAATATGAAAAATTGTTAAATCTACTAAGGGTACATTTGTGTGTTGTAAATATCGTAATCGAGAAGTACTCGTGGTGGATGATTTTTCTTTACTACTTAAGTGTTTCCTGCTACTACTAGGGCTGCTTGGTTGAAATTCAAATGTACCTCCTGAACATGATCGCTCTTTCTTCATTCTACTCATACTATAAAAAGAGAATTATTTATATTAAATACATGAAACATACATTTTTACATATAGGTAAAAATTAAATTAGATAATAGACATTTACATTTTAATTTCATCTTCTTTTCCTGGATCCTTCGTGTGGAGTACACATTTACCACTATTAATTAGAACTTTTACATCAAGTTCAAAATCTATGTTAGGCTCTTGAGCTTTTTGAGGTGTTATGTATGGTGACGAAGTTGACGAAGATTGTTCTTTTCCAAACGAATCAAGTAGTGGTGCACTATGAAAATTATAAAATTAAATTTAACAAATGTAAACATATTACATTCATATATTGTCTATATTTTATATTCACACGTACTTTCCTTCCATACTGTCATAACTCGAAGTGTAACTGATATCTCTGCTTTTCTTTCTCAATTCAACTCGTTCTCCGTCTATTTCGATAGTTTCTGGCCATTCTAATTCTCCTTCTGGCAAACTTAACTCAGAACCAGCGCTTGGAAGTGATGATTGTCTACGTAAAAATGTTATTTAATTTTGTGGTAAAAAAAAAAGAGTATTAAAATTATTTGCTAAACATACCTGCCCATTGTATGCGTGTCACTAAAAGTAACCCGCGGTCCACCTAGTCCTCTCACACGAAGGGAGGCAGATCTGTAGATAAATATATACTTAGATAAAAGTTTCTGGAGAAACTGAAATAACATTTTTCTAAAGTGAAACTATACAATACCGGCTTGGGCCACTTCTAGGACTACTTTCATAACTAGCAGAATTTGCTGAATTGACCTCTAAATTCATATCTTCAGGACTTTCGAGCTGATTTTCAAGTGTTGGCGATGGTACGATAAACGAACGCGATCGATACGTATTCGGTTTCCCTCCTAATCCTAATTTCCCTTTTATTCCTGAAGCTTTAACCGACTGCCTCCTTAACTTTTGAATCATATCTCTATAAAAATTGTTATTTTGTTTAATATATTGCATTATATTTTATAACGAATTTGCTTAACAATCTTACGTTTATACCTTCTAAAGTCCTTGAAAACCATAGCTTCCAACTCATGTAGACGCTTCATTTCTTGTTCTATTGTTCCATGAGAAGCACCTAATGATCGTAGATCGTTGATAATTTTTGCCTGTTCATTCATCTCTTTTTCTATTAATTTCGATCTCTTTTTCGCATCAAGCGTAGGATCAAAAACAAACGCTGGTAGACTATCCGTCCAATTTTTGGATTTCTTCATTAATATACTTTCCTGTAAATATTTAAGATTCGATTAGTGAATAATATACATTATGTAGCTTTAAATAAAACAATTTATGGGTGTAGAAAAATAAAAAAGCGTTCTCTCAAAATAGTTTTAACAACTGATAGTTAGTTTCTAATACATTACCCAATGAAAGGACCGAAAAAGTACTATAGGATAAAATAAATATAATTAAACCATACTTTTTTCTTAACCTGGCTAGTACTATTATCTGGTTGATCTGCATCATCGCTATCATAATCTGCAGGTACATGAATATCATCTTCTTCAGAACCAGTCAACATTGTTAGTGTATGCCCAAGTGCCGACAGTTGTTGTCCTACATTAACATCTAAATGAATATCAACACCTTCCATTTGCCATTGTACATTTAAAATCCACTTGGCATTGTCTGAAAATAATTAGACTGAATTATCCATTCCTAATAGAAGATTGTCAAAATGAAATTCTAGTCTTATTACCAGATTTGTCTTGTTTTTGTGCAATTGTTCTACTACATACTTCATAAGTGCCTTCAGATACCATACATAAATTCATTATACTACTATCAGATACATCTGGTTTCCAATCATCCAGAGAAGTTTCAAAGTCATCAGCAAATCTTAAGCACAAACCTACAAACCTTTGAAATACTAACATTTGATTAATCCGTTCATAATATATATTAAGAATTGAATAATTAATAACATTATACCTTGCTTTACTAACTAAGCTACCGCTGCTGCATGCTGATATGCTCGTATTTTCTAACGTCACTACTACAGCACCTCTTGATTCGCCATCGTACAATCCTCTATTCATACCCCAGGTAGGTGGTAAAGGATTAAGTGGTAAACAAATACCCATATCATCTACAGTCAATTGTAAAAATAGTGTTCCCAAATGAGGAGCACTTAATTGACTCGTTATTTGACCAAATGGAACTTTTTCAAATACTTGTTGAGTAGCGGTTAAAACCTCTTTATTTAAATTAGCTCTTTTCTCATTCCAATATTCGTACGCGTTTTTATAATTTAGCCAAACAAGTATAGCTTTGTCAATAGCCATTGGTTGAACATATATTAATGGACGCTTTAGTGTAATTAATACCACTTCCTTTTCTTCACCTTGTACCATTTCTTCTTGAAAAGCATTTCGTAAACCTACTCTGGTATTAAAAAAGGCAAACTGCTGAAATTCTGGCTCTGCTTCTTCAAATAAAACATTCTTTAACAATTGACCAAGACTTAAATTAATATCAACTTGTGCTTTCCCAAACAACTTCATGTATGGATTTGGTTGAGTAGCACCAGAGACATTTTGTACTCTGTTAGATAATTGGAGTTCAACAGCTCCAGTTTCCAATCGAACCGCCGAATTTGTTGGAGTTGTTGCAGTTAATTGTATTCTCTATATATGTATAATAAGAAAAATATTAAAAATTCTGAATAGCTGATATTCTAATATAATACTGGAATATACCTTAATGCGAATAATTAATGTGAACAATATTCTTTTTACAGCTGCACTGCTTGGCTCTTCATCTTCTAACCACAAAGGAACTGGCTTCTCTCCGCCATAAACTTTCTGTACAACTTCGTTTACCTCTTTCATAAACACTTTTTGCACGAATACCAGGTGATTAAGAAGATCTGTAGTCAGTGAATGTTCGAAAACACCAATATCTGCCGTTGCACTAAGATAACTGCCTTGTCTTAATACAACACCATCTATAAATTATAATAAGACCAATATATCTATGTTATAAATTATATAGTTTACAGCATAAAAATGATAAATTACTAACCAGCTAATTTACTATCATTCATGTTACTGTTACCATCTTGTATATATTCCGCCGATACGTGTACTTTGGGAAGTTCAATACTAGCTTCAGAAGGTAAATTTGCTTCAGTCACTTGAAGTTTTGTCGTGAAACTCAGGGTATGATGAGGTAAGTCTATTGTAAATTTAGCTTTACTACCAGTTATGCCGGAACTAGTTACTTGATCCATTTTGTATTGTGCTTGTAAAGATGGTAGCAGAGCTGCCGTTATACTCAAACTTTGAAATATTATATGAAATTGCATTACAATCGGTTCTAACAAGCTAGATACTACTTGTGGTTTTTCTAAATCAACTGATGGTGCTGGCGCATAATGATGTGGACTACCAGGTACTCCTGTATCCACGTCATCCTGCTGTTGACCTCTAGACATTCTTGAAGAAGTTCTTGTTACCCTAAGTTCCTAAACATTTTTTATTATTTAAAATTATAACAAATCTAATTAATACTACTATCACTATTGAAAACAATAGTATATATTTACTTGCAAAGTCGATGATAATTGTTTACTCCCTCTGGTCATCATACCATGTAAAGCTACTGGATGTTGTGGAATATCTATATTGACTGCACCAACAGTCAGTAATCCACTATTCTTATCTTTTTGTCGCCTGCTTATACTCGAATATAAAGCTTGCGACTTGCCTACGGTTACTTTAACAACTGTTTGTTGATTAGGTGCAACACCTTCCAATAAAACTATCATTGTTCTGCCAATTTGACCAGTCAAACTACACTCTAAGCTGGCAGGTCTTGATTTTTTACGACAAGTGAAACTTGCATGAAGACTCGTTATTTCTGCTTCAAGTTTCAATCCACTGAGTGTAGCTAATAATCTGGTTCTGTGTATTCGAGCAACACCAAAAATAACTAATCTCGTTCGTTCTCCCGTAACAATATCTATAATATATTTTTATATATTAGTTATGCATAAAATAAATGATAAAATTTAGTTTTTAAAAAAGCATTAAAGATATTAAATTAATATTAACTCAATTCTCGTGGAAGTGGTACAGGCGTTGAACTATTTTCAGCATTCAATCCTTTTTCAATGTCTACATCCTTCGTTTCATTCAACAATTCATATTTTCGACCACTTTTATAATGTTCTGAAGCGTCTGCTGGTATAGAAAATCGATGTGTAATAGTTTTGGTCTCTGGCCGAGTAGCGTACAAATCCAACAAGTAATAAATCGTTTTCCAGCATCGTGGCGTTAAATGTGTTGTATCTTTACATTTATCGGGAAGTACACAAAATTTGTCTAAACCAGATCCACTTGGACTCGCTCCAAAATTGGGAGTTATTACACCTTCGCTCAAATTGATATATCCTTTCACGCTCTTCCCTGTACTACGTAATTTTTGAGCAAAACTTTGTGGTCGAGAACGAATGCTTGCACCAGGTGATATAACTCTCGAAAGATTCGGTTCGAAACTATTACGAAGTAATGGGACATCTATCTTTTTGCCTTCTAACAGAAGTTGTTCTTGTAAATCAGAGGCTGTTGAAAACACAAGAATGTTTTAATTCATGTTTAAGTATATAATTAATAAAAAGTAAACAAAATAATATTTACTTGAAGATGACCCATTTTTTACTGCTGTATCATTAATAATTAAGTTATTGTTTCGTTTGTTTTCTGGTTGTTGTTCTTTTAGTTCCATTTGCGTTTCTTTGACGTTTTGATACATATTACTAATTTGATGCAACAATCTGAGAAGAGGCATGTTGACTTGTTGACTAATGTATCGTATATTTAAACTAAAATTCACAACTGTACTTGTATGTTTTTTTAATTGGCCCCGAGATATGTATAATACAGTTTGCTTTTGAATCATATCATCCACAGTCATATCAGCCATTTTCTTAACGTCAATATCAATGCCGATTTTCTCGCATAAAAATGCTGGTGTTTCCGGTGGTATATCCAAATGAAATTTTGAATTTCCTTTCTTTGCTTGATATTTATTACCTAATACATTGATTTGAGTTCGTGTTACATCACCATTTTGAATAATATTCTTAAGTGAATATTTTTTTTACATACCTTTTCTTTTATCTGTTACTTTTCCGAATTCACTGACAACTATATCAATACGCATAGTTTCCATATTCCCTACTAGAGATAAATTTGATCCTAATGAGTCCAAAGAGGATACATTATTTACATTTCCTGAACCAATGGCAGATAACATTTGTTGTGGCATAACAGATAAGGAAGACAGAAGTGGTTCAAAAATTAAATGTGCATCTAAAAGTCTAAGTGAATCTTTCATAGGATAGAGAAGTGTACCACTATGAACATCAGAATCTTCTGTATCATCTGTTGTCATTGTGTTGATCTTAGAATCCTGAAAACATATATCATTGTATCAAATATAAATGAAGATGAAAAAGCATAATAAGTAGAGCAAAAAATTTTGAAGTGTAGTATATAAAATAGAGCATATCAAAGGTGATACATTCAATTCTACAATAAATTTGAAGTACCTTTAAAGACTTTTGCTCTGCACGAAAGACCTAAGACGATAGGAATAATAAAAATGTATTGTAAATATTTCTTCTTGAGTTTCTACGTATAATAGATGTTACTTACCCAATTGCCTTTTAAATTGCTTTTATCATTGTCCTTTATAAATTCTTGTTGTTTAGCCATCCAACTATATAGATCTTCACCAGTATTTAAAGGTTTATTAGAATGATGACTCGTAGGAGATGTAACTTGATCTAAGCTTCCAGTGCTATGTTGACTACCATGTCCACCTCCAGAATAGATACTTGGATTAGAACCCAATTGATGAGAATGAGAAATGTGAATTTGCGGTGTCTTCTCTTCCCGCAATGTACCGTAACCTAATGTAAAATTCTACTTGTGTACACATATATTGCATATTTTTATTGTATTAAAAAAGCATTAACTAAAAAAATAAAGCACAAAGTACTGAGAAATAAGCAATACATGTAACTAAAAAGCAATATATGTGAGAAATGAAGAAACTGATGTTTGAAGGAACACATAGTGCTAAAGTTGAAAGGCAAAGCAATACAACCTATAGAGAAAATTAATGATATATGTTCATTACAAACAAAACAGTCTATTCATTAGATTATTTATTTCAGTTATTTTAATATTTACTTCTTTTTCTCATTTGAACCTTGTATCAATTCAGTTACATTATATTAATGTATAGACTGTTTGTATATAATCTAAAGAATTTTATTACCTTATACTTACTTATATTATTCGGTTCCCGAGTCTGATTGAATAACCCACCACTTGCAAGCAATGGAAAAACAATACTTGCTCTTGTGCTAGCAGGCATTTGCGTGGGTTGTAATGATTTTCCTTTCTTTAGACGAACTACTGGTGGAGAGGGAGAGGTTAATGAATCCGGGCCTGGAACCGGTGTTGTTATAGGGGTTGTGTCTTTTCCCCGAGGAGAACTTACAGGAACCGTCAAACCATCACCACAAATACCTGGTCATTCCATATCAAGCTATGATTTTTGTTTAGAAAGCTTACGATTATACTGTTAATGTATATTTAAAGACATATAGTGCTCCATTATTTACAAAATGCATTTATTAATTCAGTTTCTATAAATATATTCTAAAGTCTATATTTAAAATTTATATAGGGGAAAAGATATATGCACAGACTAGTAAAGACCAATATGCTTAAAAATTTCTTAAATCTTTGACAAGATTTTTTATATATTAAACAATTAGACGAAACTCTCAAAATAGATAGTTTATCATATATAAAAATTAAAATTTTTTAGATTAATAATAATGAAAAAGAATTGAACAAAAAATATAAACAAAGAAATATTTTATATATAATTTATATGTAAATAGCATAAAAGTCTTTAATAAGAAATTGATGTTATTGTATAAATATTTTACAATCACTAATACTAAAGACACATGATGTGCCTATATGAGAATGCAGATTAAGGTATTAAGCAATTATTAAAATTACAATTTAAAGCAGATGCTAAAAGCTGCAGGTGTATTAAATTGAATTCCTATAAAATGTCAGATTATCTAGCAAAATTATATTAAAAATACTGTACTAAATATCTTTATAAATTATATGATTAGAATTTTGTCTTAATTTAATTTATACCTGTACTTTTATCTTGTCCAGTTTTGGCATGTGTATGCTTGTGCATGTGGTCTGTGTGAATTAACATAGCACATTCATCTGTGACTTCCTGATCATCAACTTCTCCTGCGCTACCCTCACCATCAGTCAGCAAATTTTCCTGTACATGAATAAGTCAAGTCCAAACGTTTATCCAATTCTTTAATGGTGGAAGCAAAATAGTTGATTTAATGATAATCAATGTAAACAAAATAAACATCAAAATTAATTTTCAATAAATTATAATAAAATAGTTAATAAATAAAGAGTTGTGAGAATACTTTTAAGAAAATTTTGGTTTCAGAAGTTTTGAATTTCACAGGAAGTCTTAAAATTATGACACAATTTTTACATATATATACATATGATATTTCCAGTTAAATATTACATAAACCCTGAAGAAACCTTCACCATTTATAATTCATAATACCATATAATGCTAGTTTTTATTTACAATAATTGTACTTAAAATATGATTTAAGCACTACATAAGATTATTAAAACATATATCTATAAATCATAGTGTTCATATGTGAGTCTTGTTAATAAACACATATACATCAAAGTACTAACACAAGGTATTACATTTAAATAAAGTTAATAGTTATTTGACAAAGCTGATATATTTATTAAAATGAAAATAAATTTTTATATAAAAATAGTATGCAAAAATACTGTGTTAGAACTACTTTTTTGAATATATTTTTAAAATTCTTACTGAATTTTACATTGTAATCATCCTCCTGCACAGCCTTGCTTATTTGCTGAAAAAAAAATTCTCTACCAAATTATGTTCCCCATAAAACATATTATGAACTTCTGAATGAAAGAGAAAGCTTCCTCTTTACTGTACTATAATGTTATAAAAGAAAAATGTAATATTTAAAAATTATTATCTAATAAAGGATAAATGGAAAATATTAGAAAAGTTAATGTTAATAATTGTTTAATAAGAAAAATATTAATATGAGAAATATAAAGAACAAAGTTATATAAAATTCCATTCCCATTCTACTTTAATTTTTAAAAGGAACATTAAGTACAAAAAAAGAAAACAAATAAAATTCGTACCTCATCTGGGTCTGAAACTGCAAATGTGACATTCAATGGTTTAACATGTTTGGTTTTATAATTATGTTCCAATAACAGTGGAGTATAGAGAACATTCTTCCATTGTCTGCTCAATACTATAACTCCCTGGTAATATATGAATAAATGCATACACATATAAATATGATTTAAAATATATTTATAAAACTTACTTGTCGAAGTGTTGATAACAAAGGTAAATCTGATTCTTTTAAGTTAGCTTCAATACTTTTTAATTCATTTAATAAAACATAATTTTGTAAAATTGTACACAATTGACAAGATGGATCTTCTTGTAATGTTTTAGCCAATGGAGTTAATCTTCCGTAACGACTCTATAGAACAAATAATAATAAATTTCTTAAATATAATACATTTAGTCAAACATACAATATATAAGTAAATACATACTTTAGTGGGCATGTGTGTCGCTTGAACATCTAATGCCTCTGCCATGAGACAAGCAACTATAGCAGTTGATCTTCGATACATAGCTCTAAACATGTGTACAATTCGAATTGCAAACTTATTGCTAGGATTCATCCAAGCATTTATTGCAGGTGATGCAGTACTTAATAAATTCCAATCTAATCGAGTATAATCAATTTTTCTTGTTATAGGTGTGCGAGGCGGCGCTGCAAAATTAAACCATACTGTTTTTAATTCTATGACACAAGAAACGGTATTTCCATTTCCTGTTTTTGACGCGAGACTAGCACATGTTGCACTAGTATTTATTTGTGCTCCGTTATGCAAGTTCGTTGAAGCTGTTTCTGGTTCAGCTGTAGGTGCAGTGGAAGCTATAATAAATTATAGATCAATGTAGAGAATAATGTAGATACGTAATATTTATTAAATATCATCGAATTTAGAAAATTAAATATACCAGCTGCATTGTCCAGTTCTTCCTGGCTTTTTACGCTATCCGTATAAAATATTTCAGTATCAACCTTTTTATTATCATTTCCATTTTCTCCTTTTTCAAACTGAGATTTTTTTGCTACTTTCAATTTGATACCCTCTAAACCACATTCAAACATTATAAAACCTAATCTATCTTCTCCGCTACCAAGAGTAAATTCCTCTGTTGCTTGTGGAGATCCAGATTGTTTCTATAATAAATACATTTCTAATGAATGTTAGATAAGATACATAATATTAAATGTAAGTTAGAAAGGACGAAAGACATACACTTTTTTCTTTGTCATCCGTAAATTGAGGTAAATAATAATCAACACATTTTAGTGGAGAAGTTATTCTAGTACATGTGAATAACACTCTTGAATAATGAGCAGGAATTGCTGTTATAACAGCATCTTTTAATATTGATGATTCGTTTCTAAGTCTACGTAATTGTGAATGAGCTTTGCCTATTATGAATTATTTAAATTAATATTATATGATGTTTAAAATTATTACGGTAATATCTTACGCAATTTACCTATATTTAAAGTAACTAAAATTTCTTCTTGTTGTTTCTCAGAAGTTTCTATATACACTGTTTCTCCACTTCCAATATCAGCAACTACAGCAGCAGTTTGATGTCCAGGTAAAAATGCCTTGCTAATTTTATTAACTTTTTTTTGATTTGGTAGTACAGCTGGTTTATGAAACGTTTGAACTACTTCTCGGGCTTGTTTTCCAATATAAAATCTTGCTGTCACATCGTCAAAACAGATGGCGAATAGTGATACACATGTTAAATCACGAATATTTTCAAGAGCAGAAAAAGATATAATTTCTTCAACAACAGAAGCTTGCAATAAAGTTATATTCATCTAAAATTAAACAGTAATATATGTATTAAATTTAATAAAAAATTATATATTGTGAATTATTAATTACCTTTGGTAAAATAATACTGCCCTGTATTTGTGTCATAATGCTTTCTTCATATACGTTTGTTTGTAATGCAATTTTACCTGTTATTAAACATGTACATTAATAAATAAATGTTTATGCATTAAAAAAAAATTGAATGTAATAAGACTAACGTTTGTCGTCACCTTGACCATTTTTAATATTTCTTTCAGCAGTGGATCGTTTCGAACTAGTTTGTATTTGACTCCAATAGGATAAACTTTGGTCTTGTTTCAAAATATTAGCATCTTCAACTTTTCCAATGCATTCATGATGAAGATGATTGAGAATTGTTAGCGGATGTAAAGTAGCTAATGTTGGTATGATAGCATCAATAAAACGTTGTAGAGATTCTAATACCATCGGGCTTAACATGACATCTACATCTCCCTTAAACTTTACGATAACCGTCGTTCGTGATCCATTTTCATGCTGTACAGTTAATAATTCTTCCTTATTATGAGTTGTATGATCTTCTTCTCTCTCCATAAGATTAATAGTTGTACTATCCCAAAGATATGGATGTGTAGGAGTTTTATTACAAGAGTTAGCTACAGGTGAACCATCGGACCTTGTAATCATTTTTAGCGAAGTAAATCCTTCCGTAACAGTTTCAAATTTCGGTACGTATCTGCCACCAACATAAACTAATCTACCATCTTCAGTACGTTGAAAAAGTGGTGTAGTAAATGCGGCACCTCCTGCTGGTATTGATGATTGGCTCCAATTTGAACAACGTATCTGAGTTAAATGGCTAACATAGCTTGACATAAGTAGTGGAGAATCAACAATTGGCTTATTTACTTGCATATGTAAATTAACAAGCGTAACATCTTCTTGCGACGATACAGCGGATATGAAACTGGTAGAAGAAACGGAATGACTATCCGATGAATCACGTAGTCCACCATTTACACCATTTGACTCAGTTTCGTTTTGAAAACTAGTATTTCGATTTACTCTAGGACTCCGTTTCATACTTATCGCCTGTGGTTTTGCTCTCTCTAAAGTATGTGCTTTTTCCGATACGGAAACATTCACATTTGTTGAACTTTCTACAATAGATAAGTCTGATGAAAACTTTTTTTTCATACTGTCATTGCGATTTAATACAGAGCCAGATCCGATAATAGATTGGCGTAAACTTGATGTGCGACTTCCGCTTAATCCATGACTCGTATCCTCATCAGCAGAATAAAAAGCTTCTGAATGATTTTCTGAAGACATAGATATTGTCCGTTGAACCTGTAACAATAAAAAAGTTTTTAAAAATGATTTTAAGAAGCTATTTAATTATATTAAATTCTTAATCTCACTTCTTGCTTCAATTTTTCTTCAGACTCTGATTTTACATATAATGAGTGGTGAGAGTCAGAAATGTTGATACTATCAACAGTTTTTACGCTTGTTTGCATTGATTCAGAAAAATTGATTTCGGTAGATACTATCGGTAGTGATTGTGGGCTATTTGATTCAAATGGTTCTACATCTGAAGCGTTGAAATAGTCAACTGCTAATTTAGAATCAGATACACTACTTTTTGGAGCAGTTTCGATTTCAGGAACACTTAAGATCGATTTGCTGCGTTCTGTATGCAATTTTGAATCTGAATCTAATTTTTGTGGTAACTGTACAACAGGACTCGCATCTACTAATCGTGAATATGGAACATCTTTTACACTGCTTCCACTGTAATAAAAAATTGAAAGTTAAAATATTTTTTATGTATAAAAAAGTAAAAATATTTATAAAAATTAAATGTCTATTAAATGTCTAAATACGGTAATGATTTCAATATTTCTTTTGACTATTATATCATTAAACATAGCATATTAGAAATAAATGCTCAAAAATAAGATTATATTTTCTAAGTTAAAAAGATAAGCTTGCAAGAAGCAGAAAATTTTTGTGGAGACAGAACCCACTGAAACATAAGATACATCAAAATATTACATTGACAAATAGCAGCATAAATGATATATAATTTTTATATTTTTGTTTAATATTACATAAAATTTTAATTTGACTTTTTTATTGTTTAATTGGCATATTAGCATATTATTAAACTATTGTTTGATGGGCATATTATAAATACACAATTTAGCGCATTTATGCAGTCATGCAATATTCAAAGAAATTAATCAAATCATTAAAAAGCTGCTTCGAAGCTATTCCAAAGATTACCGCATCGATGTATAAGAAAATCTTCTGCCCAGCAGTTTCCGTTCCCCACTGCATGCGAATGGACTTGCTGATGCAGTAATTAATTTTGTACTACTAGTTTCTTCGATACCGGAATCTTTATTATGATCTGTCACAGACCTTGGTCGTTCGACACCCTTTTTCGAAGTTTGCAATCCATCCTGCGTGGCAGTCATTTTTATTCCAGTAATAGGATAATCTTGTAAAGACACATCTTGTAAATTATAAGGTGATGTATGAAATACCAGTTGACCGCTATGCAATATAGACTGTCCAAATCCTTTTTCTTTTCCGGATTCGTTAATTCTGAAATGATATACATAAAAAGCAATTGCTTAATAAATTAATAATTATCAGAGTAATTAACAGATTTTTACCTGTATGCAGCAACATTTATACCATCCTGAAAATCATGATAGCTTGGTTTAAAAAACCTTGGACCATTTCGGTTATTTCCAAAAAATGCACAGCCACCTATACAACCACACCTCGTTGCTTTTACCCCACTTTCCCGAGGCCATAAAAACCATAAACGTTTGGTAGCTTCATCATGTAGTTTTAAATATTTATTTTGTATTAAATGTAAATTATGTTCAGGAGTTGGAAGAGAAATAGCAGCTTCTAAGATTACTGGCCCTAAAGCTACGGATCCTACTTCTAACCAAATATCAGATCCATCACCTACGATATATAAAGTTATATTATCTTTAACTTTATATTTTTAAAGTTACATATATTTGTTATACCTGACATACGACTGCTTGCGTTATTATGTGACCTTCCACTACCAGCTGTATTGGTGTTACTTGTATTTGCAAAATGATCAGCTGCTGATACAAATTGTCTTATTAATATTCTTGGTAATACACCAGTTACTCCAGATTTTACTTGTTGACCATGAAGATTGCAAGTTGATACGCGAATTGGAGATATCCAAGTGTGAATAGTAGTTCCTACTTCTTGAAAATATAAATCAATTGCATCTATAGCTATTCTAGTCATTCTATATTTTATATCTTCAGAACTAGGACACCTGTAACAATATTATAATATTACTATTTTTAAATTCATAAACATTAAAACACTTCATACCTGTAATGTTTCTCAATATCACTATCAGGACATTGTAAAGGTGGAATACCATGATGACAATGATGTGGTAAATCTGGAGGACGTAAACTGTTTTCATTATTCTTTACCATTAATAGAAATGTTTCTAAAGATATAATGAGGTGATGCAATTGAGGAGAACTCATTTTCCCAGTCAATTTTCCTAATTGTACTTCAATCAACCATGCATATTCCAAAGTTTCTTGATCTAAACTTCTACCTTCATTACTGAACATTGCATGTCCCCTAACTTGCAATGCACTCAACATTAAATGTCCTTGATTTAAATGACGTTCTTTATTCGAGCGAACGACATTATCAGTAACTAATGCGATCGCTGGTGATAGGAGCAGCTGAAGTTCTGTTTCCTTATATTTCTTTTTCATTTCAAATCCAAATCGTTCCAGAAGTATAACTGGGCAAGGAGGGTCATTTTCTCCACAATTTTTCACCAAATGAGCTTGAATATCATGCATAGTAATTCCAACAGTTACTTCTAATGGTCGATAATCTCTTGGATCAAACGGTTTTGATTTTGCATCCTCATCTTCTACAGATTCAACACTGCTATTTTGAACATCTCTGTCTTTACTTCTCTCTGTACTTATGGATGTAGGATTTGTTCGACTCTGTTGCATATCAGTAAATGTTTGATAATCGCCGAACAAATTTTCTTTCAAGTGTATAAAATTTTTTAAAAGTGATCCATATAAAATTAATATAGACGGACCTATTTCAAGATCTAAACTAACTTTGTCAGGAGCTATAGATTGTGGATCAAACTTTTGACTACCGTTTCTTGTCCAGTGAAGACCTGGTGATTTTCTACATCGAGGAATTCTCATTGGAGATAGAAGAATTTCTTCTTTTTCTGGTGTTGTTATATTTGCTTGTGGTGTAGGTCCCAATGGTGGACATGGATGATATGTATAATTGATACTTAATGCCACGATTGGTACAGACCAACAATCAACCCAACCAGCTCCTTTCTGACAAACATTTCTCCACTTTTTATTTTTATTCAACTCTGATAAATATATATGTGATCCATCACGTGTCATAATCTTTGCATTTTTATTCAAAGCTAACAGAATTGTACGATTTGTATTGACTTCAGGTAGATAAAAAGAAAGATCAACACTTTCACCTTGAATCCAGAAACGCAAAGGTATTGTAATGGGCAAATAATCCACAAATGGAAGATCAAATGATAGTTCAAAAAATTCTCCGCAAAAAGCAATGTGCGTATTTTCTTGATTCTGTGATGAACAATCAATCCAATTATATTCGTTACATAATGTAATTAATTCAAATTCTTTTAACAATAAATTGAACTTCCATGTATAAGGTACAAAATGTAAAATATCAGGTCTGGCTTTACTGGCCCAATCATTAATCATATCTTGAAAGAATTCTTTGTGCGAATAAACTAAGTTAGCTGTGGCTTTACACCCAGTTAAATTCAACATCCATTCTTGATGATCATTCCACTTTATTGGATAATGACATTTAACACCAAATTCTAACGTTTCGCTTTCAACTAAACTTCGATATTGCAAACTTGTAGTGGCTTCTAGATGTAACAATTGACCTGTTATTTTTGTAGTATATCCATCTTGTAAAACTATCCATGGCATAGTAATTTCCAGATATGATCCAGGCCCTACATTAATATGAACTGCATTTGTTTCCCTGTTTTTGCTAAAGAGTATATCAATTGTAGCTTCATTCAATGTTGATAATCTTATATCAAATGATTGAACTTGTCTTTTCTCTCCAGTAACAGGGGTTTTTGTAACTTTTAGTGGTTGATAATCATTAGGGAAAAAGAATTTAAATAAATGTTCTCTTTGTCTATCAGCCCATGGTCCATAACTGAAATCAGTGCCTTTTCCACATTTAATATCAATGCCCCAGATTGGAGGCATAGCTTCAACCATATCCCCATTTACTAACTGAATCATTTGTGGATGTTCAGGAACAAATCCAGCTTCATCCATGTAATAATATACTTCTATGTTGTTTGAGCTCAATACAACAAATCCTTCACCCATATACCTAGGTGGATCATCTACCATTCCTGTATACTTTGGACTAGGTGCTAAAATAACTTTGAAATTCTCTGCTTTACATTTTGTGAAATGCATGAAATGATCATATCGAGATGCTGCCGGTTTTGTAGAATATACAAAATGCGCTTCCTCTACGGTTATTGATAAGGTCGTTGGTATTAACCGATTGCCAAATACCAATCTTCCCTAAAATGATAGAATACAATTTTAAATAATCGTAACATGTTATATATATTGAAAAATGACAAGTGATTTATATACTAACTGTGCAAACATCCAATTTAATAACAGGTATTAAATCTCTCCATGTTCGAGCTATAACATGAGCTTCTTTTTTTCTAATATTATCAACATGACGTGAAACATCTATCGTGTTTATTTGTTGACGCGTTTCATGAGTAGTATTACTAAATGATTCTCCATCATGATCATCACTATTAATATTATGATTTTCCTCGTCAGGAAACATTTGTGGTGTAAGACCAAATATTTTTTCTAATTGTGCATATAGTTGACAGCGATTATAAACATGCAATTCAAAGCCATTTAACATAACAGAAAGTCGTGTATCAGAATGTGAGAGATCTAAAAGAAAATTTATTAAAAACTTTAATACAAATGTATGTATTATAATTTCAGTCATTATATATTATAACATTTTATATATTTAAATTACCTTCAGATACATCTTTGGGAACATAACTTCTCCACCATCTAAATATAAGCCATCCATCTTGTACTCTAATGCTATAATCTGTTGTGATATAAACTATATCCCGAAACATTATTTTTCCACTTAATACACTTAAAGTAAAAGAACCTAAAAATAAATAATATGTATTACTATTTATAAATGAATATTTACTAATATATATATATATTTACATATGTATGTCTATAAATATATGTTCTTCAAAGACTTACCTACTTTAACATATCCATCTCTAAAAAAAAATCGATTTAATAATTTTGTTATTATATAACCGATGACTCTGCTATTATAATAAGCTATATAAATAATCCATGAAATAGCAGACACTAATGAGCAAAGTAAATATATAAAACTACTATCCATTTTAAGATCTTCGAGGATGACATGATCGGAATAGTTCCAAAAGGCTGGTTCAATTCCAGAGAAAGATGGAACTGTAACATTGTACAGTTCGTTCTCCTCCATGATGATGTTGTTTCTTTATTGCAGAATCAAGAAATATTAGTCATTTTGTAATTAATCACTGAAATTATAAAACAAACATATTTATAGAAATAATGAAAATATAAACATCTTTATTTGGTATGCTTAAAGTATTTTGTTTGGAATTTTAAAAATCAAATTCATAATTTATGACAATTTCTCATTGTTTGATCTTTATTTATATTCAAAAATTGCTATTCAATTGGAATCGAAAATATAAAAAAAAATAGTTTGTAAACATAACCTAATCAACTATAATTAAAAAAGTGTTTGATAATTTCTTCAACAATCGGTTCAAAGTATTACTTCATTGTATTTAATATCTCATTTTTTTATGACAATGATAATAAATTGTTATCTATTAATAAGTAAGGGAAAAAATAAACGTGAAAGAAGTTTGTTATCAACATAAAATATTCACTGTCGTAAAAATTAAAAGGGAAAATTTACTTTATTTTACATTTATTGATACTTCGAATTATTCAAATAATTGTACACTTATCAATGAAAGCAAAATATCTATATCTATGTGTACGTATATATATATATATATATATATATATATATATATATACATATATATATATGTACATATATATAATATAAGAGACTGCACATTTTAAAAAGTACTTTATGGATAAATATTAAGAAAAATTAATTTATTCAATTAATTTACCTTTATTCGACACTTATATAAGAATTACATTGAATTTTTGTTGTGTCATTCATGGTTTTATGTTTATCAGCACATCAGTTTTAATAGATGTCACACAACTGTCATCGATAGACAGCAACATACATAACCACACCATAGTTGACTACTGGCACTAACTATAGATTTGGTAACGATACCATAGATGAGATACAGGATAGATTTTAAATCCTGTGGAATTTTACGTAACATTTTAAAATTCCTATTTCCAAAAATTTAACATAATTTTATCTACATTCTTTGTGAACATAAAAATTAGATTCAGTTTGATAATCAAAAGCGTAAAAAACAATTTCCAAAAAAATTTGAATTTTTAAAGATTTAATATTGATTGAATTAAATCATTTTTATTAATTTTCATCGATAAAATGAATGAAATAAATAGCTTACGACATATCTGATATTAATTTCAATCACTACTGATACTATAATTGTTTTCTACAGTGGATCGAATGTTGGAAATGATACAAAAATAGAAAGAAGTTTTGTAAAGTCTATCTTACATTTTATCTATGGACATGTAACAGTGCGCGGTTAAATAGATTTGAATTAGAAAACAATTAATTTTTCTATACATTTTTATTTATTTTTTTATTTCAGTGGTTTGTGAAGTTTTCTTCATACTTGTTTGATTCTTACTTTTCTCTGTTCCAAAACAGTATGTGATGAATTAAATGTTTGGAAGAGATATTACGAACAACGGTTTAAATAACCTAAATTTCATTTGTCTTTATTAAAATTTTTATTTTTATATTGTAATGGAAACAATTAGAAATCATTTTTATAATCTTAAGATTTATATAGTAAGTGATACATATTCTGCTTTTTGTTTTTATTATATTTATTTCAAGATTCAATACTATATCATATTTATGTTAAATTTTCAGTTCGATATAGATGTTCCATGTAATTTCAATTAAATTTCTTCTTGTTATGTTTATAATATATTTTATTGCGGATGTAATTGATAAAACATATTATAATTATGGAAAAGTCTACAGACATATTTGCATGGACTCATCAATTGCAATGCCCACCAATGATATTCAACACCTCAGTGAAACAAACGTTTGTATTGTTTTGTTTCTGTTTGTAAATATAATAATTATGTTTTACTTTATATGATCATGATTATGTATTTTAAATGTAAATTATATATTTAACAGATTATATACAGGACTTGTTGGATTGATGTGGGATGATTTTGCTGAAGTTATATTTAATGCTAAAGAAGCAAAGACAATAAGAAAAAATGTCCTACTGTATTATTTGAAACATAAGACATCTAATAAAACTGTTCAATGTATGAAGAATTTATCACAATTGAAATCAAGTAAAAGTGATTTAAGAGATCAAATATCTAAGCTAGAGGAAGAATATGAACAACAAGAATTTAAAGTTAAACAAAAAGGTATATGTATTATTCATCAAAAATATAACAAAATATGTATATTTAACAGATATTTCTATTTAGTTCAAAAACTGAGAGAAATTTCATCCAAGCGTTCTGAAATAAGAGCAAGAAGAAATTTACTTCAGATGAAACATGATCAAACTGAAACACAACTTCGTGATTGTAATGAAATGAGAGTGATTTGTCAACATTTAATGCCACAAACTTGCAAAGATCTGGATCATAAAGTGCTAATGGAAATGTTAGATGTAGTAACAAGTCTTTGGACTGGAGCGGATAAGAAACAAGTATATATTTATATATTATTTGACTTAATAATAATTGTAGCTATATTATTCAGATTATATTCATAGGTATGGAATACAGTATCAAGTAATCTTAATCATATTGAAATACCTACATTATGGCATTATTTATATCAAAGTTTAACAGAAGATGTAGATACATTAACTAAATTAGAAACTATGAAATCAATGGAATCAAATGAAAAACATATAAATGTTGGTATTGCCAGGCTATATGGACAACATATTTCTATGGTTTCTAGACGATTATTGTATAATGCAAGAGCAAATAATCATCAACAAAATGTTTTAGACTTTATAGAAAAAATCGAGGTATGTTAAATATTAGTTAAGTATTAAAAAACAATTTTGTTAAATTTAATTTTGATTTTAGACAGCTTCAAATAATTCTGCAGATATAAGTGAGTGGTTGGCATTAGCATTAGAAGTTCACAAATTAGAAAATGAACAAAGAAGTTTACAAAAAGAAATTGATAAAATTCGAGATGATCTGTATGAAAATAATATATTTTCATTTAATCTAACACAACTAATTTTGGAGATTCAAAACACTGATACTGAAATTGTATGTTAACATTTTTTAATTATTGTAATGTGTCTATATATACACATAATTATTTTTGCATTAATTCTAGACAAAATATATACAAGACATACAACAATCATTAAATCTTTTGAAATCTGCACCAACGTTTCTTTTAAAAACGAAGGAAAAAATAAATTTAGAATTACAAAAAATAGCAACAATGCAAGCCGATGGATGTGACTGTACAATGTTAAAAAATGATTTAACTACTGAATTGGATATATTTCATGAGGTTTTAGATCTTAATGCATTAAAAAAAGTCATGTTAAAAGGAGAAGTTGCAGTATATAAGTGAGATTACTTTTATAAAAATTTAATACCAAATAAAACTTTATAACTGATTTATATATTATGTAAATGTTTCAGGCATACAAAAAGTTGTTTCAGCGAAGCTTCTGTTTCAATTACTAATTCTCAAATTTCAAATCTTGCATTATATTTTCCATTGATTCAAATACCAGTATATTCTTTAGTAGAATGTTATAAAAATCTAATTTCAATGTTTATGTATAAAAAATTCGAATCTTTAGAAACTGAAGAAAGTTCAAATACGTCTCATTTACCAATGATAACGTATGAAGAAAATAATTATAATACATTTGAACTTTTGAAATTATCACAAAATATCAATACGAAAACGAGGATAGAAATTGATGAATTTCATAAAATTCTAAATGACTGGTAGGTATATAAATTATAATTATTATTTTTACAATGTGGATATTAATTTTTATTTTATTATTAACAGGGTGAATCAACCTGTTCAAAAGGTAATGGAAATTATTGAAAAAACTGTAGATGATGCAACTTTTTCAGAGTGGGTTGAACGTTATGATGTATTATTATATATGTTGCAAAATTCCACATAGTTGTGTTTATAAATGTATTCCATTTTTTATAATAAACTGTTTTTATAACAAAACTACAATAACTAATAAAATAATAAAATTTTTATGTACATGCACATAAACTTTTTATATTAAATTTTATAATATTAAAAATATACTTATTTGTTATATATTATTTTATTTATCACATATATAAATAAGAAATTAATATGTCTTTGAGACATTCAAAGAATATTTGGATTTGTTTAGGGAATTTTGATACGATATCTTGGTGACACTCATGAACACTAACTTGAATACCTTAGTATATACTTGTAGGAGTATATACTTATTGTTAGTATTTACTTTGTCAGAATCATGGCGGGTTTTCTGAGGTTTTGTTTGTGGGTTTAGTTTATAAGAATAAAAAGTAAAAAGAATTATATTGTAATGCAACGATAATTACATCGTTACTTTTTATAATCGAAGATCATAATTTATCGAGAATAAAATGTTGTCAGCTGTCTTGAAGTCTATATTTGGTTATGATGATTTTAAAAGCGATATTCAAAAACAAGCAACCACTGCTGTTTATAAAGGTTGAACATCATTTATTACTGTCATTTATAAATAATAAATATGTAGAATTCGTTTATGTGTTTATAGATAATTAAAATTTCTTATTCTCAATAATTTTTAATAAATCACCTATAAACAATTGAACATTTTCAGGTAAAAAAGATGTATTTGTATGTATGCCAACTGGAGCTGGCAAATCACTTTGTTTTCAATTGCCAGCTTTAATGAAAGAAGACAAAATTACAATTGTTTTTTCACCATTATTGGCTTTAATAAAGGTATATATATATGTTCTATATAGAAATATGTATTATAGACATGTAAAATGTTCGAAGATGACCTAAATGAATAATGTAACATTGTTTTGTTATTGTAGAATCAAGTTGACTTTTTAGTAAGTAAAAAAATTAATGCAACCTCATTGAATTCAAATACGTCTACTAAAGAAAGAAATGCAATAATGAAAGATTTGGCATCTAATTCTCCAAAGATCAAATTATTATATATTACTCCTGAAATGGGAGCACAGAAGCATTTTCAAGTAAATTGTTAATTGTGATAGAATCTTTAATGTCTGTATCTTGCATATTGATTAACTGTTGGAATTATTTTTCTATAGGACACAATAAAAAGATTAAATAGAGAAAAATTATTATCTTATTTTGTTGTTGATGAAGCTCACTGTTTGAGTGAGTGGGGTCATGATTTTAGACCTAGTTATAGAGAACTAGGAAAATTTAAAGAATTATGTCCCAAAATTCCTATAATTGCATTAACAGCTACTGCTGCAAAAGAAGTAAGTATATTCTGTAAATTTGGGATACTGAGTAAGAGTTAAAATTTAATTAGTATGAAATATATTATTATAGGTAAAAGATGATATACTCCAGTGCTTAAATATGAAAAATCCTGCCATATTCTCAGTTCCTGTATTTCGACCTAATCTTTATTATGATGTATGGTTTTTAGAAATATTAGACAAGCCTCTTGAGCATTTAAAAAATTTTGTTATAGAAGCTCTTGGTTCTCAAGATAAATGCACTCCAAAAGTAAGTTGTATGATAATTCTATAACATATATAAAAAATATGATATATAAAATACATAAAAGAATTAATTGTAGGCAAAAAAAAATTGTGGCATTATTTATTGTAGAAAAAAGGAAGCAACAGAAGTAATTGCACATAAATTATCTAGTTCTGGTATACCTACTCTTGCATATCATGCAGGTATATATTATTACTATCTTTAGTAGTCGTGAAATTGAAATAAAAATGTAAAATATAAATAATTATTTTTACAGGTTTAAAAACTCAGGAACGTAATGAAATTCAAAATAAATGGACATCTGGCGAAGTACCTATTATTGCAGCAACGTGTAGTTTCGGAATGGGTGTAGATAAAGGATCTGTTAGGTAACTTATTTTATATTACAGGAGGTGTATATTATTTTCAGTATCATTTTATAATAAAATTATAATTTTATATACAGATTTGTAGTACATTGGACAGTTCCAAAAAATATAGCAGCTTATTATCAAGAATCTGGTAGAGCTGGTAGGGATGGTAAACCAGCATTTTGTAGAATTTATTTCAGTGATAAAGAATATTCAGCTATTTCATTTCTTATTAAAGGGGAAATTGCGCGGAAAAAATCCGAGCTTGTAAAATTAAATTGGAAAAATTTTGAAAAGGCTGTTTCTTATTGTCTTGAAGTAAAGTAAGAATCATTATCGCCTATAATTATATTATTTGTAATATACAAATGAATATCAATACAATTTAATATATTCTACAGATGTAGACATACAGTGCTTTCTAAATATTTTGGAGATAGTCCACCTTTATGCAAAGATAAGTGTGATGTATGTAGAAATAAAGATAGTGTTCAATCAAGAATATCACAGTTCGAAACATTTCAAACTAGATCGCAATCTCAATCTAAATTTACTGGCAATTCAGATAGTATTGCTTTATCAAAGTATGATGGTTGGTGAGTAATATATTTTATAAACATTACAATTTCATATATTTTCTACTGTCTTAATTATTTTTATCTATAGTGAAAATGAATGTGAAGAAAAGTCAGATTCAAGGGAAAAACTGTTAGCTGAAAGTAAACGAGAAGCTAAAGAATTAATTGAAAAACAGTTTGCTATTCGGAGAAATAATAATAAAAGTATTGAGGTAAATACATCTAAAGATACATTTATATTTTTTAATATTTAAAATTTTTTTTTTTGGTTTAATTTAGTTAAAAAAACAAAATCGCGAAGATGCTAAACAATCTCATGTACGTGCAGCTGAAAGTACCGATATAAAAATAAAGGGTTTAGCTGTGCAAATTCGTGAACATTTCTATGTTCAGTTAAGATCAGCTTTATTAGATAATTATGAAAAGATCTTTCCTGAATCTAAAGAACAAACTCAAAAAATTGATATGCATAATTTAGCAAATGAACTCGAATATAAAGTTTTATGTAGCAGTAAAATTGCAAATAAGTATAAATTTGATATGTCTAAATTGGTACGTAATTTAGTATTTTATATCTCTATGTAATTTGTTCATATTTCTTAATAACATGAATTGAATTTTTCGATAAATACAGATTTCTTCGATACGGAAATGTACCAGCTCTAATACGCTACACGAACATTTACGAGATTTTGATGCAAATAGTAAACAAAATATGCAACTCGAATATTGTAATGAATATGATGATAAAGAAGGAAAAAGTGATGATTTAGAACAAGATACGAAAGATAAATTGAGTAAACAAGAAAATAAAAATATTTTATGCCCAATATTTAAAACTGCTTTAGAAATAAGAAAGAGCGAAAAAATATTGGAAAATAAACCTCATACTAATAAAAAAGATATATTCGAGTTAAGTATTTTGCAAGGTGATAATAGAAATACTAATACAATAGGATGGAAAAATAGGGTTGATAAAAATTTGTCCCTTTTCACTAAAGACGTAACCAGTGAAAGTAGTGACCTAAAAGAAGATACTGAAGAATCTCCAAAACAAGATAAGATGACCGATTTTCAAATATTAAGTGGTTTTATGTGCGCTCGAAAAATTCATGAAGAGAATGAAATGTTATTAAAAAATCACAATAAAAAGTCACGAAAATCTTTGAAAGAACCTAAAAAGAAAAGTCCCAAAAATAAAAAAGCGTTACCCGTAAATAAGTCGGTTTATGAACAAATTTTACAGTCTGCAAAATCAATGAAAGTGACAAAAAATAATGAAAGTGACCACAGTGTAAATATCAGGAATGAAAAAGAATCAAAATATTTTAGCAAAGAGAAACGTAAAAATATAGATCTATCTGAAAACAACGTAAATACGAAATCGCATAAAAAGATGAAATTCGAAGGAAAAGAATGCTCTGTAGTTAACAAAGAAAAAACTATTAATATTGATGACATTGTCGTTACTGAAATTTCTGTTGATAAAAATAATAAAGTTGACAATGAAAAAACTGAGGTTGATAATTTTAAAGATAAAAACGTATTTACAGCAATAAAAAATGCAGAAAAAGAAGAAACATTAAAACAGAAAAACATAATAATTGAACATGTAGAAACAAAAAAATCTTTACAAGAGAAACATGATAAAAAAATTCGTTTAAACCAGCATACAGATAAAGATAAGAAGAAACTTGTATCTGCAGATAAAATTACTCAATTTAAAACTGCAGAAATTTTAAAGTCATATTTAATGAAGTATTACCCATCTGAACGTATTCCTGATCGAACGACATTTTCAAAAACATGTAGAGAAATGCATTATATTCTCCTTGGGAAACAAATATTTGGTAAAGTATAATTTTAAAAAATTTGTCTATCTTTATGATATTTAGCTGACATTCAACTTCAGATTATGAATGTTTCAGATAAAGAGGGAATACAACAGTTTGTTAGGAAATATATGACACAGAATTAATCGTTCTTGTCACAAGTCCATTTGAATATTATATAAAATATGAAAAACTTTGTATATATCTGTATAAATATGAACGCATACTTTAATTTAAAAATTTTTATTTATTATACAGGGTGGCCACTGAAAAATTGAAAGGTTTGAAAAAGCCCGTGTATATATTTAAAATGATATTTAAGCAAACTTCAATAATTAAAAACAGACATGTAAACAAAAGTTCGAATTTTTTAAATATAACTAGTAACTTCTTTTATTAAAATCTTTTGTATTTATAAAACCAGATTGTTGTTATTTCATATTTTTAATAAAGTACTTGCGAGTCTATCCTTATATGATATTTCTTTTTTATTTTTATTTCTATTATTTTACAGGAGAAACTATGTTACAACATGTATTTTTGTTACAAATATTATTTATTGAGCAATTATTATAAATAAGTATATTATTAATATTTCACTGGCAAGAATTCAGTATTTTTGTGGAAAACATAATAGTTATTCCCACAAAAGTTATATAAAATATATAATTGAAGGAAACAGTATTTATATATACAAAAAGTTTAAATCACATTTTGTTTTGTCATAATATTATTTAAAGTAAAAGAACATGTAATAATCTATAAGAATGTGTTGGATTCTACAAAATACTGTTTCCTTAGTTGATCTGTACTATGACTTAAATTTATAAATGAGGCAAGAGTGAAAAATGAAATATTTAAAAAATCATTGATCAGCTATCGATTTACTTAAAACTATTTATAATTTTTTTACATCTAATACTACTGTATGCGTTATGAAGATTTCAAAAATTTATGAACAATCTAAATGCTATGTATATTGAAAATTTGCAATTAATATTCAATAAATATGAATAATATTTACAAGTAAGAAATTAATTAAAATGCTTAACATAATCAGAGAAATATGTTTAGTTATATTTTAAAAACAATTTAGTTATCCCCTTTCCATTTTAAAATTATAAATTTTTTTTAGAAAATTTAAACCTTTGTGTTAGATATACCACCATAATTTGAATCACAAATGTCTTAACAATTTAAAAGTTACAGATTACGAAATAAATACATTTTTGATAAAGTTCTAAATTGAGTACAGTGAATTATGTCTTATAATGAAGTTATATAATTGTGTTTATAATATACAATAATAGAATTTACATTTAGTAATAAAAACGATTTTTGTAGCTACTGATAAAAAAGAATTTACAACGCTTTTATGATTTATGTAATACTTTTTAACAGCTCTTAACAAATGAACAATATTTAGCATACGTAATTAATAATTAAAATTTTATTATTATGATACTAATAAATATGTTTTGATTCTTAAAATGTACAAGTCGTACATTTAGAATTAAAGATACAAAATATTGTAAATTTTGGAACGATGTGGATTTAAAGGTTATAAAAACAAAAAAACAAAAAAAAAAAGAACATAAACCATAAGATTAATTGCCCTTACCGTTTTTTAAATCTACATTACTTTCAATTACAAACGGTGCGATTCAAAAATAATACTTTTTTACATTACAAAAAAATCGTTGACAATGTAATTAAATATGTTAATTGTTTTTGAATTATAAATCACTTAATTACTATACCAGTCTATAACATCAGTCTTAATGCATTTAATCGTTTATATAAAATTACAAAACGTCTTGAGCAAATGATCAATTGCACCCTCTTTTTTGATTTTGTTTATTTACAAGCGCATCGACTTCCGGCAATTTAATACAAAGTATTATCGCCAAAATATTAAAAATCAAAATTTCTACGTCCATCAGAAAAAAAAGAATAAAAAAAAAAAGAAAAGATGTTAGTGATATATAATAGTAGAAAATAACAATTATTTTTAAATTAGCACCGTTTGTATTGACCTGCATAGTAAAGAATTTAGTACAAGGTGTCACTTACCACTACTGTTTGTAACTGCATTTAAAAATATTGTCAATTACTTCATACTGTATGAACTATGCAACTTATACTTTTATTCTATGATCACAGAGCGACTTTAATAGAATCGAATGTCGATTTTACGATACTATTGTCAATGTCGAAAATATTATAAATGTGTAAGTACTTTCTTACGGAATTCGATCATTCGTTTTTGTATCGATTACATCTCGAAATCGAAGATAATCTAACGCGTTCCATTGCAAAATAGCCTCTTTCCATAGTTTTCTTCTTTTTTTTTTTTTTTATTTCAGTAACTAACGTTACACGATGTCTTCTTTTAAAGATGGTAAATCCAGTGCTGTTTCAGGTACCTTCTCATCTTTCGACTCGATTAACGAGCTGTCCATTTCATCGATCTTATACGACATTCGTCTATTATTCAAAATTTGCATCTTCTTGCTTTTTATTTCAGAACTGAGCCACTGTCGGGTCAATGTCGATTCCGTCGATTGCCATATAATGATCTTGCGAACACAGATGCCTATAAGTACAGAACCGGCGAGTATCGAAAGATAAATGAGAACGCTCTGAAGAACTGGTAAGAAATTCAAATAAAACCAAAAACGAACTAGCATCGATATCGGTAACTCGGACATTCCCTAGAAAATAGATTTTTTTTTAGATGTATCGATATATTCGATATTGAAGGTACGCGTTCGATAATTGCAGTTCGATATTTTCCAGTACTTACGATTTCGAACCAGAGCAACGGTAAGACGAAATTCTCGAATTTCTCCACTCTGGACATGTGACCGATATTTTGCAAAGCCATGTTGATTTGAAAACGGAACGCGAATTGCAGCGGTAGACCCGCCTTTGGTTGAACATATAGAAAAGATTCATGAAGATCAGGATTTGGACTCAACCCCTCGATAGCGTCCAAGATGGTCGGATCAGCCTTGTAGAAGTGCGGATACGAGAGAGCAATTGGAAATCCTGCATCATCGTAAAGGTAAGTGATCAACATGAATATTTAAACCTCTGTTATTTTTTAATCTTTTTAGCGCTATGTTCCCCATGATTGTGCATGTTGATGTTTTATTTATTTACCGATATTGTAATTTTTTACGTTACGTAATTATTTTTTCTCTCATGTAATTTTTTACGTTACGTAATTATTTTTTCTCTCATTCAATCTTTCAGCATCTGCTAATAGCACGAATGCGTCATTAATAATTAGAGCGACTTATGGCTATAATTAATATAAACATTCATTTTTTTTCGTTAAACGGATTTCTTTTCTGCATCTAATAATTTAATTGATCTCTTTTAATCGTATCTATCTTAATCGTATCAGTTTTAGAATGCACTGAAAAATGTGACGATATGAATGTATATTTAATTATATAATGTTAATTGTTAGTCTATGCAATATTTTTCATATTCCTTCCAAAATGTGGAAATTTATTTTTGTAATAATTTCAATGGTTCAAGTCATCTTACCATAGTAACAGTCGGTGACATCAATTAAGCCAGGTTTTAAGCAATATCCATAGCGACAGAAGCATTTGTTCTCTGGGATATAAGCACCATTGTCCAATATATTCTCCACGAATTTGTATTTATATACATGCATTCCGTTCATGGTTGTTTCTCCATCTCGTTTCTGTAAGATTATATTTTAATCCCATTTATTACATGCTATTCTGATCTATCTTCTAATAGCTCACTATATTTTTGATAGTAACTTTTAATATTTATGTGTTTAGGTATTATTGGTAATTTAGAATAGTACGAGGATATTATAAACACATTTGAATACACTATTCTCAGAGAGCATGCAGGTAACAAGGCACAACTTACCATAATGGCGCTGCGACAGAGACTTTTTCTGAAGAATAATATGGTGTCGTTCGGCTGAATGTAACTTGCAAACTTTGATCCATCGCTGGCTCCCTTCACATTCGCACATTTTCCTGTCCATTGCGGCAGATTCACATTGCCATTAAACTTCTCAATCAAGCCTGTTTGACGTATATCGTTTTCACCGGTATAAACGTTTATGTAATCGTTCTCAAAATCGTACATCTGTAGTAGGAAACAAAGATGAAACATTGAAATCTCTGCAGAAAGGTAGCGACTTTTGAGAATCCTATACAATTGATGAGCCATATTTTTGAGAACTCACTCTATCAATAAGGCCTAGCTTATCAAATTTAATCCAAGATGGCATCATTTTATTGCCAAGGGTAACAAGGGTGGATTGGTAACCAAACATAAATTCCTTAGCAGTCATTTTCACCAGGGGCTCCGAATCCGTGTTAATGATCAGTAAGTTTAATCCGAGTCTGGTTAGATAAACAGAATTCCTCATTACGTTTGTAATACTCTGGAACAAAAAATCAGAAAATACTTCATAGATATTTGGCAAATCACTTGAGAAGTGGAACAAAAGAATTATCACCCTGTAATCAAACAAGTAATTGGCTTCTAAATAAATCTGTAATATCCGTGTAATTAAAAATTTGTTATTATCATTTAATGATAAGATTTATTTGTAAGCTCATTGATTTTTGTGTCGCGACATAATTAATCTTGCATATCACGAAATGCAATTTATCACGACCTAGTTCGTTAGGTGATCTGTTCATAAAATGTCAAGGATAACAGCATTCATTTCCGTATTTTGTATTTCGTTTTGTTCTCATATCTAACTCTGATTTTCTTGATTTTCATTTTCTGCCTGAAAATTCATTGACTGCTATAACAATTAGTTACTCGCAGTTATCAACCGAATATAAATTGTTTTGAGTGGATATTTTTTCAACTACGTAGATGTGTATGCACATATATAAGAATACTTCAACGGCGGTGGATGATCTTTTGATTGTTTTAAAGAAGAAATTACAAATTATTTTTCGTTTCATTGTCATTTCTACGCGACTTCTTCTTGTTGTACGTAATAATTTTTTTCTTCGATATTTCTAACAATACGAATAATTTTTAATTTATTTTTGCTTGTAGAAATTATCAACTGGTCGATTACCATGATTTAGGAAACATTGTATATAATCTAGGGTTTGGTATTCTATATAGAATGTTGTTATTCTTCAATATACGTATATATTTACAACGGAAATTGACAATTAAGAAACATACGGAAAGTCCTTGGATTTTGTTCGTAGAAAAATAAATATAAGGATCATGAATATATAATATAAGTTTTTGGCCGGACGTATTACGTTTTTCTTTTTCTGATTGCCACTCTTCTAATGGCATATGCATATAGAATTTTATTATTGCATAATCACGCAATCGCAGTCACGGGTTTTCCTTTTTCATTAACACATTTGAAGTTATAGGGAAATGTAAATGCGAAGCGTGACACATTACATTTCATTGACGTTTTTCCACATTTCAAGGAAATTTCCTTTCACAACAATAACAAACACGTCGATCTTGAACGTTATTATTCATTGTAATAGAACATGATTATCGCCATAGAATTTTATAACGTTGTTGTTGACTTATGTCCGCATATCTTCGAGTATAATTCATTCTTCTATTATTTTAAGTTTCCAGGTATTCCATCCAAATGTTCTAGATTTCTAGCGGAATACCTTGGACTATTTAACCATAGAGTTAATTGATCAATTATGTCAAACGTGGAAAGTACGTTTTCGACCAATAAAAAGGACAATTTACAGTTGGAATAACGATCGTAAAATCGATAATTATAAGATATGCCAAAAAGTAGTTTTACAATTTTGCATAGAGGTTTCGCGTATTTTAAAATCATGAATTTAAATTGAAAAAAAAAGAAGAATTTTATTGACTTTAGTTTTTAATTAGTAAAATGCTTATATGTTTCTACAGAAGTGCATTAATTAATAATTCCAAATAATCTTCATTATTATTTTTCTTGATATATATAAAATTCGAACGATGATGATTCTACATTTTCGCTTTTTCTTTTGCAACGACTTACAACCGGTTTCGTTGAAGGCCTTGAGTTCTTTAATGAATATCCAAGTTTTACGACAAAAATTGCATTTTCTTTCCAAAGAATATATTTCTCATCCAAATCAGCTATTTAAGTTATTGTTTCATGTTTCTCATAAGATATTACGTTCCTTTCATTTGACAAGAAAATATGGTTAAAGAGATTTTCTTCTTCGTTCGGGAAGAAGCAGGAAAGACATTAGTGAAAGAATTATACTACGCTATTCAATAGTGGGAAACAAATTATCAATGTATTGTTTCTTACTAATCGAATTTTTTATGAAATATTATTCTATTTACAATTAGACGAATTAATAATTTTTCTGTTTTCGTTATCTTGTACTAAAATTGTTTCGTAGCATAGAAAACAAATAGGCATAATCCACTTTTTACTCAGAAAAACTCGAAATTGTTATTTCTGTTCTGCGAAATTGTTATTTCTGTTATAAATCTCTCGAACAGGAAATGTATCGGAGTGTCGCGCGCTTAAGTAAATTTACAACCTTGAAATTTAATAAAATTGAAACGAGCAAAGCGATTATTATTTACGGTTGATTCATGCGAACTTAGTCATGATAGTCGTGAGCTTGAATATCGTCGATTGTATCATGGGCGAATTATTTCCCGTTTGCGAGAGATCAACGATGAAACTTGGCAGGAATTCCTGGTGGTTTATAAACGAAGACTAAACAACTTTTTAATTAATTGAGTTATCTGATTTCCATATATTTTATGCGGCGTTAATGGCTGTAATGTAAATGTTCACGAATGCTTTTATTTGCGATTTTCTGTATGCTAATACGTTTCTAAGAAGGTTATCAATGACTATAGTTCGAATATATTTTATATATATTTGAGAATATATTTTATATATATTCTGCGATTATTTTTAAATTCGAAAATGAAAATCAGAGCATATTAGAATCGTTTGTTGTCCTTGTTATGATTTAGTTAAGATCGAACGAGACTCTCCTATTAGTTCTGTTCTCTCTCTTATCAATGTACGTAAATGATTTCACTCACCAATAAGGCGATGTTCGGCAATATCAGCATGTCATCTTCCGTTCCATTGCTCATGTGCGGTACGTACTGCAGTGGGTGTTGTAGATATGCCGTCACCGTACCATTGTCATTGAAATGGATATTATTATGTTCGAACAATTCTCTAAAAGCAAATTTCTATTGAGAATAATGATATGGAAGTAAGACGAATTTTTTTTAATTGAAATCAAATATTCGTATAAACGATGTCTCAAAAATTTGCACGCGATACTTTCGAAAAACGCTGCGTTTAAAACTTTATCTTAATTTAAACGAAGATATTACAACTCTTTAATCTTTCGAATTTCATTTTAACCTGTTTTCAACTCTGTCTCTTTAATTTCATTTTAACCTGCTGAATTGTAGAACTGAATAATTTGTGATTAAATTGCAAACGTGCACGATACGACCTAATTACAATTTTAATTGTAATTTTATAGTGTACACGGTATAAATTATTTTATCATTATATTTCTAATGACAGACTTACCGGTAGACGTAAGGGCCAGTTTCCTGAAACTTTAATTTGCTCTCCTCGCCAGATAGATATTCCTTGTGATTGGTCACGTTAAAGAGGTAGATTTTAACATAAAGTTCGATGTCCGGTTTCCGCCAGATATCGAATATTTCGCCGCCGGGACTGAATATCACTTTCATTTTAAAAATGAACTCGTACGGATCGAGTATGAAAATTGCGCAGCCAATAGTAATGGCGAAGAATCCCGAAATCATCAGCGTGAGAATACCTGCAAAATTTCGGGAAATTTCGTAATTTTGGAGGAACATTGGACTACTTTTAGAACATTGAACGGACAATTAAGAAAACAAACGTAACGTTCGTCACAGAGAGAAATTTGGAAAGTTTCATAAACGAAAAGTAAAAATTACTTTAAATATTTTCTTCTAATCCTTGATAATGGTAATATTTTTCTTCGAACAAAAATAATTTTCTCCATTAATAATGATCTCCACGTATTACAAAGATTTATACGAATCATTTGCAATCGTTATACCTGACCAAAATCATTTAATTCTTGTACTACAATGGTTCTTAATTTCAATTACAATTATCTGATGAAAATTATTTAATTTTTATACTGCAACTTTCTTAATTTCAATTACAATTATCTGATGAAAATTATTTAATTTTTATACTGCAACTTTCTTAATTTCAATTATAACTGTTATCACCGCTGTTGTTATTTGATATATAAAATTCTTGAGCTCTTTAACCCTCGGATAGCCGATTTATCATGACGAGAATTATTTAATGTGCCAATCTTGATTCATTTTGATTCCACATCAATATACACTTTAATAGTTAGTTTAATAACTGCACGTGTAAATGATAATTATACTGATGCAAAATACAGAAAAACTGATTCATACTTGCTACTGATGAACTTGTATAAGGCAAAAAAAAAAAAAAAAAAAAAACAATTTGATCACTCAGGAGTTAAAACGCTTGTCAAATGCAATTTAGAAGAACACAGAGACGCGCGACATAATTAACGTTGTTCGTTGAATTTACTCATTCACCAAGCATCAAAGAATTTACATGAATAAATTTATCGAGATGACATATACATGCCATATATATTATAGATATACAGAGTGTTTCGTAACTTGTGGGACCCACTTCGAGAGCTGATTGTACGCCTAAAAATAATGAAAAAAAGTCATATAAATATATATCCTATCTGTCTTCGTTTATGAGATACAATGAATTTTCTGTTTTAATTACTTTTACAAAAAATGCTCGAAATGATGACCTTGCATTTGAAGACAAGCCCGCATGCGTCTTGTCATCGATCTGGTTACTCTCTCTATCATTTTTGGTGTTTCTCGAATTTGTCGGAAGCCTTGCTCTATTCTATTTCGTAGTATTTCAGCATTTTTAATCGATGTTGCGTATACAATAGATTTTAAATGTCCCCACAAATGAAAATCTAATGGATTCAAATCCAAAGAATGAGCAGGTCCTCCACGACTAATCCATTTATTTGCAAAGTGTTGATTTAAAAACTGCCTAGCCACGCGGCGGAGTTCCGTCATGCATAAAACGCGTACGAAGTCTAATATCGAGTTTATAAAATTCATTATATCTCATAAACGAAGACAGATAGGATATGTATTTATATGACTTTTTTTCATTGTTTTTAAGTGTACAATCAGCTCCCGAAGTGGATCCCACATGTTACGAAGCACCCTGTATATACAAGTCGTGTAATTTATCGATCATCGCGAAACAAAAGCCTTAGATCGCGTTTGAGATTAAGAACGAAGGATTTTTTACTGAATTTTGCACAAGTCTGCATTTTCGTGCCACCGCGTTCGCATTGTTGTTTTGATTTCTTTCTTTGCCTTGAGCTCGAATGTATAGTTCCACGAAGTGAAAGAAAAAAGAAAAAAAAGAAGTGATTTAAATATGCTAATCTGTAAACGCACGATATTACATATGTGGATGGCGATTATTAAGATCGTTGATTAGTCTTAGTTTCTGCGTGCTTTCTGTTTCTATTCTTGTTTCTCGTCGACAGACTTTAATTCGCGTGTTGCAGTTGTATTTACTGTTAGTGTTCTCTGCGGACGTTCATCAAGAAATGATAAATTGCTTTGGCTAATTTTCCTGGATCATAAGGAATACGATCACGAATTAAATGTTGATTCCGGCGCGCTTGTTGATTAATACGCACGATTGGTCGCTCAATTTTCTCAATGCGATTCAAATATATTCAGACAAGGTTTTGAGCTAGTCGTGGTCGTTAATTAGACAAGATCTTAATTAGACGGCGGTACATTTTTAATTTGAATCTCATTAGAAATCGGTATACGTGAATAAGTTCAACTGAAGTGAAGTAATTAATATATCATACGATGTCGCATATGTATATATATCAGCGTGCAATTACCAGTCTAGTGCGTGATAGGAGAGAAAATGTCGTGGTCTTCTTGCGTGTGATAAATTGTTACATAGAAAGAAAAAGAAGAAGTCGGAGAAAAGGAAACAATATCCCGAGGGGACAATACTTCAACTCAACACTTCGCTCCAGAAAAAAAAAAAAAGAAAACTGTTCACGATATGTGCTTGATTATAGGCGTTTGCACGAGAAACGGAAGAAACTGGAATGATAATCCTCTAAGATGTTTTTACGTAAGACGATTGCAAACCAAACAGAAGGCAAAAAAACCAGGCAAGAAAAAAAAAGAGGCATCAACGCAAAAAAGTCTAATTACGAGTATTGGAAACGGACAAGCTAGAATGATATTCCAAAATGATTTTTCCGCGGAGAAGAACGTTTTTTTTGTTTTGTGTACGTATGTACGCGCGTCGTGCGTTGTACTACTGACGAGTCGCAGTTTGGTCTCTGACGTTTTCAAGCGAACGACGAGCACGAATTCGACGCACGTGAATGTTAAAAACGCTCGGATCGGAGGATCGAAGTGTTAGCTAATACTTTATAGGTCTATAGGTTTCGTAGAGGGAGCCATTTTGCTCTCGACTGTTGCAAGATCGCTGGCAGTGCGGCACACCACGGTGTTGTAATAATTTTCCGGCGGTAATCGGGACGCGACTGCGGCAAACGCACCGTCCAATAGAAAGTGCATATTTGTCCCGTCTCGTTATATTTTATATCCAGAGGCTCGGCGGCTCTTTCGTGGATGTTTGTATCGAACGAAGCGTATCTGACGTATCTTGCAAACGGAATAGGAAATTGCGAAACGCGCGCTACTCGCGAGGACAACGAGCTTCTTCGTCTGTCGCAATCCTCCAATAGGATTATTTTTGATTATCAATCAAAAGCCTCCCGCCTGTTATTACCTGTCTTACGTAGTATTTTTCTAAAGGGAACGAAGACGTTTCCAAAACCTTCGAGAGAATGTATCTGTACAGCGTATTAATTACCGATCTTTTAATGTGTATCCAAGCGGGTCCAATAGTTATTGCCAGGCTTGGGTAATGTGACAAAGGCACGCAATCACGTTGCAAAAGTCAGAGAGCCTGTCTGTTACTCTGACTTCCCGAGTTTGATCATTTCTTTTCGATAAAGCTAATAAGGGGAGGAAGATCTTCAGAAACGTTTTGTCATCTATCGTCCGTTATGCCGGGAGCATCGATGAATAATCTCGGTGCTCATTGTCAATGCGGAGCGAAAGCTCGTGTTTATTAACCAGATACATAGTACTGTTGGTTAACCGACGCGTACACGTGCAACTGTACGCGTGCAGTTTATCGCAGAGCGGCAGACTCGATGATTTCTGCTCGATGACTTGCTTGCAACGTGCAGTGAACCCCGGGCGAGAAGAAGAATCCAAAGCATTGTCCGTTTAATGGCTTATGGATCTTTTTATACGCAGCCGCGACTCACCGAGTCGTTGCGCAACACAAATAAATCCCCAACGAGGAGGATGCACGTGCGTACTTTTTTCTCTTTGCAAAGCCTCGTTCCGCGACGCAACGTGACGCTTCAAACGGCCGTTTGAAAAGTGAATCCTCTAGTATTGAAAAAGGAGTATGTCAATTTTAATCCCCACGACCGATAACGAGATATCTCTCGATGCGGTGTTTACCTTTCTTCAATTCCGACTACCTGCAAACACTCTCATCCTCGCTTCTTTCTCTCCACACTTTTTTTCTTTTTTAATTTACGGCATAGCCGCTTGAAGCGGTAGATCAACGCATCATCCCACGTCCTCGCAACTCGTTTTCATGATTTCTCTTTTTATCATTACGAACGAAAGTTCATACTTGCACGCGCGCAGTTTTTCATTTGAAGTGGAATAGGATTGCGCTGCTCATATTCTGACACGATGTTCAACAGTTCTCGTGAATAATTGCAGCTCGCTTAGATCTCATCTGAGAGATAGTGTAACTGTAGAAAAAAAAAGAAGAAGAAGAAGAAGAAGAAGAAGAAAGAAAGAAAACAAACGCGTGGCGAGAAGAATTGTTTCTAGTGTAACTAGATCGTAAAATTCTAGAAAGCAGCGATTCATTTGCATGCGTAACAACGGTTCGTTTCGTTTTGAAATGTTTCGCGTAATGACAGGCCGCGAGAATTCATTTGCAGTGATCTTTCTCCTTTCTATTATTTCACAAGCGTTGAATCAATTGAAAGCCACCATGTCCCATCACCCGGCATCCCGATGCTTTCCACCATTCATCATTTCTCATTCTTTCCTCACGTACGCGGCCTCGCCGCATGCGACGACCTCAGCATAGGTGGGATGAGATTTGATGCAAGACACGGCTTGAGATTTCGCTCAATTTAGGAGCCAGGCTCTTCTCACCGAGCAAAAATCCCTCGCGCGTGTTGCATTAGCATTCCGATAGGCACACCAACTAACGAAAGATGGCAAAAATTGCCAAGCCTCGCTGGAGAGTTGGCATTTCCAAACGGGACTCGCCTTGTGCAAGCGTCGCGCGAATGAATGGAACGCACATTAAAACTTACGACTTTACGATCAAATACGTACAATACAATGCATGATCACGAAGCTTTGGATTGGGTTAGGTTTCAATCAGGCCGATTTCCCCTTGAAATTATCATCAAATCGACAATTAAGAAATGGAGAGAGACACGAAGAAGGTGAGGAAAAAGAAAATGATAATCAGCAGCGACTTTATGAATGCAACAACGTCATTAGAAAGTCAATCGTTTGTCCAATCAATTCAAATCTCTTCTAAGAGTGTTACCGTCTGTTAATCGCAGTAAATCTATCGCGACGAACACGCATGAAAGCGTGTATTAATTTCCAAGTCACTGATGCTCCTCGTTTCAGTGAATTCCAAGTGAATTTCAAGCGTGACTTATTAGTGCACGTCTTAATTGATCAAAATTATTTTTATTGCAGACCGTTTTGTTTACAACACGATGGTAATTAACCATAGTTATATGCGCGAGTCAATTAATACGCGTATTGAAATGTGTGTCGAAGGAATTGGTTTGTTCATCGGCTGTTTACGTCGATAAACAAAGTGAGAATAAGTCTTCGCGACGACTCGATTGAAAACCTCGTTGCAAAAGAGAAATGGACACTCCCTAACACGTTAATGGTTTCTCGTTTTTCTAATTTCGCTCTCGTCTTCTTCCCGCGTTCTTACGCAACTTCTCTCGCGCGCTAATCAAATTGATTCTTTTACTATCCGCGTTGGCTGAACTAACCGGAGAGGAAACTGAGGAGAGAATCGCGGTTCGCAGAAGAACGAGTTTATCGAAGCGAAGACGATACGAAAGAGTGACTTTCTGTTCGACATGCGCATACTTGGTACATTAAAATACCAAATTAGAGGGGCAACCTCCGTAACAACTGTTATTCTTCGAACGTGTTGGCAATCTTACCAAACAGTAGATATTCACTCTTCGATTACCATAAAACAGTATATCTTTCGACTTTGATACTTGTTATTCGTTTTTGGTTGTCTTTCCTCTTGGTTATCTGTCATACTGTGTGTATACGATTCTAATGTGTCTGAAAAAAATCTCTCAAGCATATATAATGTATAAATACGCGTATCAAATGTACGTAAGTATACAGAGATGACACTGGATGTTTCTAGCCTATCCTTTCCGTTCCTCTTTTTCTCGGTGAACCGGTTTTCAGTGGAAATAGCCGATATTTCTCCATTTCTCATTTTTTTCCCTTTTATAATCGATTCAAACGCCACTGCTGACCAGTAGTGTGTAACTAAACAGCTGAGTTCAACAGTTGTGAAAGATCAAGATTGTAGCAAAGTGAAAACCTGTGTTTTCTTAAACGAGACAAATTTTTATTCGAGCAAATTTCAACTAATCATTTTATATCCAGTTCAACTAATCATTTTATGGCGCACTGGCGTCATTTCGAAAAATTCCTGCTCTTTTATTACACTCGTTCGATAAACACAACGACGCTGAAAATTTACAATTTGGTAAATTTGGTCGAAGTGGAGAGTTGGTTCGTTCGATGTAAACATAGTGTAAGATAAATAATAATAAATAAATAAACTTTTCTAATCAAATAAGTATCGTTTTAATCAAATGAAGACAACGACATCAAACAGGCAACAGCTTTGTAATTGAAGTTACAGTTAAAAATGCAACCATTAAGTTTGAATATACGATAGATAATCTTCGTTTGTAACCAAGCTGCGTTTAAGGGAAAATGTATCACTCTGTAAGACACGTAAATATCTCTTATCGAAGGTCTAAGAGCAAATTGATGAACTCGTATCCGTACACATACTACACTTTCACCAAGAAAACACGTCCCTGTTTGAAAACTTCTGATAACACTTACATATTACGTGAGAATGCAGTGATAAACGTTTCACTCTCTTCACGCACGTCACGTGAGCGAAATGTTAATAACCTGCTGAAAACGATCGATCCTCGTCGTTTCTTGTACGTACTGGTTACTTCTACTTTGCTACTTGCATTACGTCTGAATTTCGAAGACGTGAGTCACGCCGAATACTGTCGCAAAAATATATGTTAATAGATTCTCGCTGTGCACTCTCGAGTCGTATATCGAGGATCTAGCTATTACGAACGACAGGTGGACGTTTCGAATTCTAAATCGATGATCCGTTGGGTGTTCCTATTTTTTTTTTTCCCTTTCATCAGATACTTGGTCATCGTTTTATCGAGCACTCTGGCCACTTTCATCAACATTTATTCAAATCTTCGAGAGTGATAAACTAAAAGGAACTTCTTTCAGTTATGAGGAAGACGAAGAAGGAAATTTGTTTTAAAAAAAGGTCCAAGCCGGACCACCATTGGACAACTAGAATGGCTGATCAATCGTTGTTATTCTAATTGCGATTCACTCTGTTTCGTCTCTTCTGAATTGATTTGCATTCGTGAATTTTCAATTTAATTTCAGCTTGGTCATTAGCAGTTTCATCGTACGTGTACGAAATCGTCAAACAGAGCGGTTTTTCTCTGCCGTGCGAGAATGAAGGGGCGTTACATTGTTACGCGGAGCATTCGTGCATTCGCCCGAATCATTACTCGTAAGATTCTAATTAGAGGATCAGTTTAATTTGTATTGTCGGGACAAAGCGCGATCCGCGGCATTGGACGAAGAAGGAAGCTTTTCATGTTCGAGGATTTTTATGGCGTTTTTTACGATTCTTCGAAGCGTATGTCCCGGAAGGGTAATGGCTATTAGCATAATGTACGCGTGCCGTTTTTTTATTGCTTCATTGAAATCTTCATATGGAGCCGGGCGTTCTCCTTTCTTTGTTCTCGGTATATTGCTTTATCGTACACGTTATGAACGTTCGTTGTTCATTTCTTTTTTTTTCTTTTTTCTTTCTTTCTTTTTTTTTTTTTTCTAATATAAACCTCTGTTTTCTACTACTCGCGTAGCGTTGAACTCTGTGTTTGTCTTTTTGTCTTACTTTGTTAGTCATGAAGTCTTAACCACTTGCGCTGGCAATTGATTGCGGACCGTAACGAGTGACCGAACCGTATACAATAATTCGTCGCTTTCTTTTTCAATTCGTCGATATATCATTGGATAGAAATTATTGAGAAGTAATAAATTTATTATTTGTTTTGCCTGGGTTATACTTAAAATATACTTAAAACTGAGAAAATATTGCAATTTTGGGACAAAAAATTCTCGACGTGCGTGGCATTCCAGCGCAACAGCGGTTAAAACATTCTACAGCTTTTACGTTGTTGTATCTACTTTTGAGAAAAGGAAGGATTCGTGAATTATAGAACGATAGCAATCCCTCAATGAACAGTGCAGTAATTTCGTTTTACAATTTTCGATATTAACAATATTGTAATTATTATAATAGATAACAACGATTTAATGGTCTAATTACTTTCGATAAACGTGAACTTCCGACCGAGTGGCGGAGACAGATCGAATGCTAAATTTTTAAACGCTAAACTGGGAAGTGGTAAATTTGAAATTAAAATGCTGATAAATGTTACGCAATTCATTGATAAACTGTCTGAGTTCTATTTTCGGGGTTTCTAGATAAACTGTCACAGTTCACGTTGGAGGGGAAAAAAAAAAAAAAGTGGACGAAACGAGGTCGCTGAAACTTCGTGGTACTTTGAATTGAATTCAAAATATTCTCAAGAGATAAGCGTAATCTGCGATGCGAGCAGATTTTCTGGGAATTTTTCGAATCGGGAGTAGCGAATGGGAATTCTTCTCAAGTCAGCAACAACGCGATGCAGCAATTACGAGCTCTCTTAATTATTCAGTCAATTTTCACCACTTCTTTTAACCTTTTTTTTTTTTTTTAATCTACGTTCCTTTCAATCCCGTTAATCGCTTCTTTTTACGTTAGCAACGATCGTTTAGAATTATTCAAAGAAAATGATTGGAACTGACACGATGAATTTGCATAACGAAGGAAAAAAAGTGTGCGATCGGGCGAATTTTATCTCGATACTTTCACGTGTAACATCATATCAGAGACGGTAATTCGATAATTTCACGCAGCAATTGGAGCGTAAAAGTGTTTCACATGCTAGCATAATATTAATTACTATGACGTAATTAATAGTTTCTCTGTAAAAAAGGCATTGAAATCGCATCAGGCGTGAATTCGAATATCAACTTTCGTCGAAAATGTGAAAAAGTCCATTTCTTTCTTTCCAACCACGCACTTCATAATCGAACACATCACGTTTAATGGCTATTAGCATAATTATATCGTGCAAACGCCTTGAATTCGCTTGTGCTTGTTCATTCGTTTCGCATTCTGAGTTGCTCTAATCCCACGTTTCACGAAATTTCAGTAAATCGACACGATGTTTGACAGGATGTTTGACTTGTTGCAGCTTCGATTCGACGTGTTACTCGATTCATTGTTGCAAACTTTGTAGTACGTTTCTTTAGTAAATAATAACAAATTTTGTCCGAATCGGCAGGATTATAAATTTTTCACCAAACACACAAGAATTAATCCTGAATCAGGAGGAGGGGGACAGTGTCGAAATTTTATCTCGACGAGATTAATAAATTCTCTCGCGAAACGATTCAGATAGCGATTCATTTCGAATCGAGCCGAAAGCAATGATAATTTCATCTCGACAGATTAGACGAAATGAGAAGATGACAGATTTTTCCGCAAAAAAAAGAGACTCGGATTAATTTCGAAAATGTAAATTTGTCAAACTAATTATTTAATGCTTAACTATTATAAATAGTTAACTGTTTGTCAACTACGTAAACTATGTAAAATTATGTAAAATCCACGCTTGGAAATTCGTCGCGCCGAGTCGAAACTTGACAGCTATCGAGGCTAATTGCGAATTCAACAGCGTCGCGGAGTTCACAGTTCCCAGATTTTCGATGGCAATTACTTACTTCTCAGTTGGTTCGGCCTTTTGTTCCGCGCGTGCACCGCGAGAGCTGTATTAATAAAATTGCTCATGACGATCGAAGATTTCCTCCTCAGGTTGTTCGTTTTCATCGCTATGTCCTCGGGCTCGCCGGACTCGTTTTGGTTCACGTTGACGTTCGAGTAATGCCGGCCGGTGAATCGATTCCATATCATCATAACGTCCTTCATGATATTGCACTAGTTGCTCTCTCCTCGCTAACTACGGGAAAAATACGGCACCAGTACGAATGATCCTTCAGGAATGACGCGATTCACTTTCGACTCGAGCTTTGCAAAAGTCACTCGCTTCAAAGACGCTCTCTTCGAAGTTAAAGTTCGACACACTGATGCCAATATCCTGTAACTCGTCTGTCACACAAATGCGATAACCTTGCACAAGTCTCAAACTGTCGGACAGTTCCAGAGGATTTCCCCCGACAAATAATATTCTCGTCGTTCGAACAGCCCGAGTTTCCGTTGGAAATCGCTCGATTTGGACTCGCTGAACGATTATCGTCTGGTAACGTGTACATAAATGGCCAGAGAGTGATCGTGCGCTCGATTCGTTCGAGAAGTTGACAACCACAATGAGAGCTGAGTTCTCTGTCGGTGCCTTCTCGGTGCGAACCGCGTGCGATTCTCTACAAAAGTGACGAAAGCACCGATTGAAAGAGTTTCAAGATATATCAGAATCATACTGAACTCTCCCCTTCCCACTTGCCTTTCGGATCTACTGCGGTTCGTAGCACGTGGAGCACTGGCCAATCGGCGAGCGGTACCGATGTCCCACCATTATCACCACGGAGAGGAAAAGATCGGTTGTTGCCTGAAAAAGATCAGGTGAAGGCTTGCGATACCTGCAGCGTGCCGCCGATCAAAGGTCAATGGAATATTGTGACGATCTGGCTGGAGTCAGGGGATGTCGTCTAGATGTTTCTCTTATCGTTCAGGGTACGTTCGCCGCGATAGGGGAATGTTATTATCCGCGGAGAGACTCCGTGGGTGAGAGAAGTAGATTATTTCTATGCTCTGGTCGTTGTTTTCGCTTCTAGCCACTGAAAGGACTACAAATTAATCTTTTCCCGCGTTCGTTAATCGATCTGCGTTATCTATACGATCGAAGTTAGTTCAAAAATTGTGCTTCCTCGTTTAGACTTGGCGAGGTATGTTCAATGATCGTTTATTTAGTGAAAATACCGTATATTTTTAAAATTATGCAAGGATACTCAGTTTCTTTTTTATTTTTGAGATTATCTACAACTTCCTCAAATCACTTCTCTTTCGTCATTCTTGCCTCGCAAGGAGAACCTCGTTCGCCGCGGTGTGCCATAATGTCCTGAAGAACGCTCGCTCGGATGTTGCGCCGAATGAAGTCCCAGGCCAGAACCAGAGCTGACCCTGACTTCGAACGTTTATTTTCATCTCCACGGTCGACTTTTGTTCAGCGCGAATTCCATAGATTTTTTCCTTCCTTTCTTTCTTCTTCTTTTTCTTCTCGTCCGAGGAACAAGAACGAGATCTGAAAGTGTACCGCCGAGCTCGGTTCAGTTTCGAAATGGCCAACCATTATTTCGTAGTACGGGACGTTTTCCTTTTTTCTTTTTTCCCTACCGCTTAGTTAACATGCTTGTGCATGAGTTTCTGAAAAAAAAAAAAAAAAAAAAAAAAAAACGAGATTCGAAAGTGTCTCACCCCGGTTGGATTTCCCAAATGGATTTCCTCACCGGCTGCTACTGGTTCCTACTGCGCGTTGGAAAATTTTGCTCAACCGGTTGACTAATATGTTTACACGCGGAACATGTGTATGTCGCAATTTCGTTGTTGGATGTTTCTATTACGACCCGATTTCTGCAGATTCATGCAAGGAGACGCAGGTCTGCGGATACGTATCTTTTCTGTAGTCTAATTTTCCGAGCACTACATATTGTAACGGAGTTATTCATCAACCTGTCAAGGAATGAAGGAATTCGCATTTACATAAGTCACGATACTGTTTTGCATTGTTCACTCGCTTGGGACAACAGGTAGGCGGATGTTTGTTGCATTTTTTGAATGTTGAAGGGCGCGGAGATCCACACGGGATGCGTGCAATAAACTACTTATTAAAATGATTGCCCGTTCGATGAAGTAAATATTTATTCAGGTGTTGTTTCTTTGATCGGCTGCGCGATCAATTTTTCCTATGAAAATTCGGGAACGTTCGGCGATTTGTTTGTGTTTTTTAGATTTACACGAAATTTCCATTTGACAAAGGAAACGATTGTAGAAAAAAGCTGTAGGATTGCCAGAAGTCGAATGAATAAATAATTGCACGTACCGTTCATGGTAACCACGGTCAAAGTTCGTTCGACGTTGTTCCACGAATTAATTTGCGGAGATCCAGTTTCACGCAAAATTTCGCCGCACAGTATGCACGATAATAGATATTACAAATGATAGAATAAATTCTTTTTTTTTTTTGTACGGAAGAAATAATACATCTTCGTAACCGGTTGTGGCACCGGTGTTTAATGCCTTGTATCCTTGTACGTGATATATCCGACTTCCTATATTAACTCTCACGTGATATAATTTTCCTGCACGTTCATAAATATTAATGCATTTAAATTGTCCCCAATTGTTGAAGGTTATCAACAACATGGATCACCCGAGAAATCAGATCTTCGGTGTTCTTCGCACATAATAATGCGATCCAATTATCGCTTTATGTGAAACAAAAAAAAGGTATGATTGTAGGTTTTAAAACAGTTGAAACTCGACTGCGCTCTGAGCTTTCATGTTATGAATTCCTCGGTGTGTAATAAACTTGAAGGTTAATCAAGAACGTTCGTACAATATATTACGAGTGAGTTTTAATCTGTAAGCCTAGGAACAAAGACAGTAAAATTCGTTCGTAACTCAATAATGTATCTATCGTCTGATCCTTGGCCATTCGTTTTCTTGTTTCTCGATACTTCGATTAGCAATTCAGTCGCGAGCATAAAGATGTCACACGTCACAAAAAAATTTGAAAAAAAAGTCTGAGAACTGGAGATCAATCTCCAAACTATATGTATAGCGAAGAATATCAGGAAGCGTTTACGTATGCTTCATTCAAATTTGTGAGAAAAGAATTTTGCAATTCAATATTGAAGAATTTATTTTATTATTCTCGAGGGAACTGTTATTACTGTTATAATCACCGTTCGTTGCTGATTATCTATTCACAATAATCTGATAATGATCGTGCATAATTGCCAAAATACTTGTCCTCTCCTGATTAATCACGAGTGCTTACGTACAAAACACTTTTTTAGAATTTATGAGAAAAGAGTTCAATTGAATATTTAACTATTTATTTCGTCATCCCTGGAGGAAGAATGCTGATTACGGTGATAAATATTCAAAACCATTCATATTGTAAAGATCCATCGTTAGTGCTTGTTTCTCCAGAAGATCACATCAGACGTGCTTAAACAGTTGTTTAACGCGCGTCATAAATCTCGACAGATGATAAAAAAATGAAAAAAAGAAAAGAAACGAAAATAAAATGAAAGTGTTATAATGTATCATGCAGCGTCACACTGTTGTTTATTTCGACGTTTGTCTCGTTTCGATTTACGTACAAGGTGCGTGTACTTAATGACTCTGAAGATAATCGAACAGAAACCCTGTAACGTTCATTTATTCAACGTTATAATTAATTTCGTACACACGTGTTATATTTGAAATAAAAATCGACGCCGTTTTGATGAATATTTATGCAAAGGCTCGTGTTTCTTTCGATACCTTCTTAATAAAAGTTCTCATCGTCTGTCCATTGAGATGATAATTTATTCGCCTGTGTTTTATCTCCGTTTCTTCGAAATAGAATATCATTTGAATCAGCGACAAGCTAGTCCCACTAGATAACGTTCGTTTCTGTTCTCTCGACATTTTTCTGAATTTTTCTACTCAAGTCGTCGACGTGGCGTGGTGATTACGATTTTCATTCAGTTTCGCAAAGCGTACGCGCGAGGCGAAGCAAACAGTAACGCGTACGCGATTATCCTTTTCCGCTCAGATACAGTTACTTTTTCCTTGATCAGGTTTTCCTTGATCACTGGTATCATTACTGGTTCACCTTTATTTGCAAAACTCGCACTTTGATATTTATCGGTAAACAACCTTATTTTTTCCGCTCAACGCCGGGACGAAATATCACGCTAAAATTATACGCTGTTCGTAAATTATCGTTTAATTATTTATAAATTCATACGGGAAAGGAAAAGAAGGGATGTCTAATTATTCCTTGGTAGATTTAAAGATAACCATCGATTTTAGCTGAAAGTAAATTAGCAATGCAAATGGCAGCGATACATCGGTCTAACGTGTGTGTTCGCGTTCGACCTGGCAATAGAAATTATTCTCGGTGATGCGAGCATTTTAGATTTCCGATCGAGATGTATTGGTCCCGGCGACCAAACGAATTAGATAACGGGATTGCTGTGGACCGTGTATAAATCAGTGTACGTACCACGATTTATTAATCCGGCATTAACGGCGGGCAGAGAATCGAAATTCGACCGGTATTAGGAGATTGCAACGGTAATAGAAGCAAACGACGATGGTTTGTATTCTGTCATGCATCTCCGATATCGGTTCTACATACTACTTCGAATCATTTCGTTCTTTTGGATGGATCCTAATTGGAGCATCTTAATCGTCGAAGATATACGACGAAAATAAAATACGTTCGACGAAACGAACAACCTTGTTCTGTTTCTGAACGAAAAATATGAAAAGATAGATGTAGCGTTTCCATCTTTTTCTCTGATTGTTGTCAAAGAGAACGTGAGACATATTCCGAATTGACGAAGAATTGACCAAAAATTTTTATGCGCGACAAACGACCAGATATTTCCAGGAAAACAGAGATTTTGCATTTCAAATAATCAGTATATCTTTTGTTAAACACCCGCATGATGGCGATATCTGTTTCCAAAAAAAAAAAAATTATCTTTGGGATATTGAAATTGAGACCCATATAGGATAGCAGATAAAGCACAATTTATTTGACCATTGCTAATTCATGCGAATATTCAGCATGAATAATCGTTCAGTTTTCACATGTGGTCTCCACGATCGTCCATGTTCGCGAGAATGAAAGTGTACATATCTGCTTGAAAATAACCTTGTTACGAGGAGATAAAGAAATCAGAGTTCGACACACGATTCGTCTTTGTGCCACTAAATTAATTCAATGCGTCTTCCTTAATTGGATTTTGTGTATATAAAAATACGCTTCTTTTCTTAGATTTTCTGTGTATTAAATATGCATTCACCAGTGGATTTTGTGTGTATTAAATATGCATACTCGAAAGTGTTACATTTGAAACAAATTCCAGCGATCTCGATCGCGAAACAAAATCGACGAAGTTAAGAAGCACGTGACGCGGATCGCGCGACTCATGAATTTTAATACGAAATATCTTCCTCTGACGTTGATTGCCAAGTGACAAAAACAGATGACATTTCTTTAATTATTGTCGATCTTTTTCCTTCAATCGAGGCAACAAGCAAGTAATTGCGTATTATGGAGAAGAACTGATTACCTAGAAAATCGTGATTTGTTTCAAGTTCTCCAATCGTATTGAGAACAATAGAAAAAAGAAAAAAAAGAGAGGAAACAAATGTGAAACAAACGAAACAC